ACATGACTCGTTGGTAAGATTACTGCAACATGTGAAATTGAAAAATAAGTAGGCGAAAGAATAATAAAACAATAGAACAGATGCTGTGATAAACCATTAAATATTAGGTTTATTGTAGTTATTTCTGCACTACTTCCCACTTTCATTTTGTCATTTTAATGATCAGAATCAATTTTGCAGATCAAGTTCAGAAAAAAAATGAATATGATTTGCAGACACAAACAGATCTGGAGGACCATTGGCGCCATCTTGTGGCAAAAGTGGATTTTGTAGAAACAAGGGTGTATGCAAGAGCTGTAAACAAGGACTTGAGTCTATGTAGTTGCTTTTAACACAGCATTTGCAGCCCAGCAGTATAATATACATTTTGAGTTTTTTTTTAAACCAAGTAAGGACCAAATGTTACACTTTGTCATCTCAACCAGGTCCCAAAATACTGTATGTGCTGCTAATTTAGTTTTTTGAGGTCTTGCTGGTCACATACTATTAATTTAGTGGCTGAGTCGTTCCATTCTCAAAAAATGGCCTCAATTAAATAAGCTTCCAAACAAATCAATAGCTGTAGAAAAACTGTTACAAAAATTATGTGATGATTTTTCCAACAGCATTTAATCATTTGGAAAGTTTAGTAAATTCAGGACCATATCATTAAAGGAACATTATAGTCACCTAAACAACTTTAGGTAATGAAGCAGTTTTAGTGTATAGATCATGCTTCTCATGTTTCACTGCTCAATTCACTGCCATTTAGGAGATAAATCACTTTGTTTCTGGTTATGCAGCCCTTGTCACACCTCAACTGGCTCTGACTGACACAACCAGCATGAAAAAAAAACTGGTTTCACTTTCAATCAGATGTAATTTACCTCAAACAATTGTATCTCTTTATCTGTAAATTGAACTTTAAACACATACAGGATGCTCTTACGGGGTCTAGCAAGCTAGTAACATAGCAGGGGATAAGAAAATCTAAATTAAGCAGAACTTGCAATGAAGGAAGGATTGCAATGAAGGAAGGAAGGAGAATTGAGCAGTGAGATTGCAGGGACATGATCTATACACAAAAACTGCTTCATTAAGCTAAGGTTGTTTTGGTGACTATAGTGTCCCTTTAAGGAAAAGATTATTGTGATTATATAGATTGTGAAAATAGGCTAAATAATACACAGAAATGGATGTAGCACTTTGCATGGAAATAAATGCTATCAATATTTTGTATACCACCAGCTGTTCAGGGATGGAGCAAGGATCTGGGGAATTTGGAGGCCAAGGCAACATCTTGAACTCTTTGTCATGTTTCTTAAACCATTCCTGAACAATTTTTGCAGTGTGACAGGATGCATTATCCTGTTGAAAGAGGCGATTAGCCTGAAGGGGTGTACGTAGTCTGCAACGATCTCTAGGTAGGTGGTAAAGTAACATCTGCATGCATGACAAGAGCCAAGGTTTCCCAGCAGAACATTTCCCAGAGCATGGCACAGCCTCTGCTTTCTTCCCATAGTGCACCCTGCTACTTTCTCTTCCCCAGATAAAGAAAGCACATGTGCCATCCACCTGATTTAAAAGAACACATGATTCATCAGAACGGACAACCTGCTGCTATTGATCCATGGTCAAGTTCTGATGCTCACGTCCCCATTGAAAGCACTTTCAGTGGTGGACGGGGTTTTATGAGCACTCTGGCTGGCCTGCCACTACGCTTACCCATAAGCAGAAAATTTGTTCTGACACCTTTCTATCATGGCCAGGATTAAGGTATTCAGCAATTTGAGCTATAGTCAGGGCTGTCTTAACTCATGGGCATGCTGGGCAGTTGCCCGGGGGCACCACGATCATAGGGGCACCATAGGCTCAACAATTTTTCAGCATATTATTTTGGGAGATTTATTCAGAACCTTCAAACCCTCTTTATTAAAACATTTTGGTAGACTAATCACCTCCGTATCGTCTGTAATCTGTACATGCAATCTTGCTGTTGCAAATACATATCTTGACCTTGAAGAAAATAATATATACGTAATTGTACATAAGCAAGTCAAAATCAACACACATACTTTTTTGGAACAGTTCATGTCAGTTGCCGCTCCCTGCTACCTTCTAAAGGGTTGTGTGGATTAATCTCTGCCGTACAGCATGTTTTTTAATGTTTAAACACTGATTTTGTTGACAGTATCAATAAAGATAAGCGTAATGTTAATGATAAGTAACATTTTCATTACTAAGTGGTTGTGTAGGCAGGGCCCCAACGCACTGCTTTGCCCGGGGGATATAATGCTGTTAAGATGGCACTGGTTACAGTACCTCTTCTGTGTGGCCATACCAGATGGGCTAGCCTTTGCTCCCCTTGGGTGCCCATATCCCTGACACTGGTTCACTGGTTTTCCTTCCTTGCACCTCTTTTGGTATGTGCTAACCACTGCACAGCAGGAACATCCCACAAGACTGGCTGTTTTGAAGATACTGTGACTAAATCGTCGAGCCATCACTATCCTGTCAAAATCACTCCGATCTTTTTACTTGCCAATTTTTCTTACTTCAGACACATGAAATTAATGAAATTACTGTTCACTTGTTGTCAAATATGTCCTACTCCTTGACAGGTCCCATTGCAACAATTTAATCAACGTTATTTATTTTACCTGTCAGTGGTTTTATTGTTGTTGGCTAAATAAAGTGTGTGTGCATGTGGGTATATATACATTTTTATATACATTTTTATATATATATATATATATATATATATATAAAATCTCAACTATTCCTTTTTATACTCTGACTGGCAAAGTCAGCAGTAATGAATGCCTACTATAGTTGGTCCAACGAATTACTTTATTTTGAACAGTACCACAGAGTGATACATCAATGCCATATTTGAAGTAGAAGTTCAACATCTCTTGATATCTTAATCTAATTAGGCTAAAATCTAGTTAGCTACTGGTTGTGAAGACTATTTATATATTATTCCACAGGGTTCATTTCTTGCATGTGATATTTTTACAGCTGCAAACTGGGAGCAATGTAAGCGCCTGTAACTAAATTGAGTCTAAAAATATTTTAATGTACAAATATGTTTCTTTTGTGTCTCAACCAGTGTAACCAGTTTAATGGGTTACTGGGTTAGGCAGATATATGTTGATCTACAGCATCTAGCTCTAGGGAGACAGTGTTGTTTCACTTGGAATGTCTGCACGTGGCGATGTAATCCTAACACTATATTCTAGTACAAAATAGAACAGGGGCACTGTACCCATACCACTTCAATGAGCTCAAGTGGTCTGGATGCCTATAGTGTCCCTTTAAAACCTCTTCAAGTAATTTCCCAACAACAGATGTTAAAGGGACACTCAACTGCCCAGGTAAAATAGAAAATAAAAAAATCACTGATAAGTGAACAATCCCTGCTTCTTAAATTTAGCTCCACTGAGCTAAACAACCAGGTAGTAACTTGACTGGTTGTCTGAATAAAAACCAGGGGGCGTAACAATGTTAATTAATAAAAGTGAGGGTTTTTTTTTTTTTTTAAATCTGCATTTTCTTGTAAAATAAAAAAAAAAGAGAGAGAGAAAAAAGAGAAAATAGCTCCAGAGGCGAAGTTACTAAACCTTGTTCTGTTGCTTGAAATGGGTTAGGTAGGTAAATTATGGGCATAACCAAATATAATAGTTTCAAGAACAAAACAAAAAAAAAAAAAGATGAAGCCATGACACCTCCCAAAAAAAAAAAAAAAAAACAGTTGAACTTCTACAAAGCCCTTTATCCAAATCTAATCTAAGGTCCTTTCCAAAAAACACCTTTACTGGAGTGAATGTCCTCTACCACTATCTATATGTGTGTGTTTGTTGGGAAGTTCCCATAGATACTATTGAATGTATCACAATTGTGGGGATCTATCTACAACCACATGTGTTAGGAGGACGACTACTTCAAGTTGATAAATGTTTAATATCTGTCCCACTCATACCAATTTACAGCTCCATCTTTTTGGGTTTTGGAGCATTTGATATTGTTTATGTCAGACCTAATTTGCTACATGTATCCCTCTTTTTGAGCAAACATTTATTACAGTATTGCAATATAGAAATTTATACATGCCTGCAAATAATAGTTTATATGTGCGTGTGCAAAGCTTTATTCCTACATTGTTCAGTTTGTGTATATTTTTTTTTTCTCCAGATCTGCAACCTGTTTCCCCTCAGAAAAATATAACCAAAACAACTGTAGCTTAAGAAAGCAGTTTTGGTGTATACGTCATGCCCAGTCAGTCTCCCTACTTAATTCTCTGCCACGTATGATTTAAATCACTTTGATTATGCAGCTCTAGGCACACCTCCCTGCATATGACTTGCACAGCCTTTCTAAACATTTCCTGTAAAGAGTCATCTAATGTTTACACTTCCTTTATTGCAAATTTAATTTGATTTATAATTTCTCATCCCTACCTCCTGATCTGTTAATAGCTTGCTAGTCTCCAGAGGAGCCTCCTGTATACAATTAGTGTTCAATTTATAGAGCAGGAGATAAAGCAGGTTGTGCGCATCAGAGCCAAGGGAGGTGTGGCTAGGGCTACAAAATAGCTATAAATAGAAACAAAAGTGATTGAACTTCTAAATGGCGGTGAATTGAGCAGTGAGACTTTGGAGGCATGATACACCAAAACTGCTTAATTAAGCTAAACATGTTAATGTTAATGTCACCAATATCCCATGTACATACAGTTATTAACACATTGCTTGATATCATTTGGCAGGCAAATATACCATTTGCATAAAATGTTTGCAGTAAATACCTTTATATACCAGTAATTGTGTCTATCTCCATTCTGTTCCTTAAATCTCAAAACACCAGTTCATTGCCACTTAATGCCCGGGAGACCCCTTGCAAGAAGTCAAACAATTCTAAAATGTCAAACTTGGAATGTTCCCTTTTCAGCCAGTGTTAAATGTGCGTGGTATCCAACATACATATTCACAATTATGAAAGAGAAACTTTAAAATGATATCCCCAGATATTTTAATGAGATCAGATACGGTACTGGTTAAATGCCATTTATTGAGTAAACTCTGTAACAAATGCTTAGCTTATCTGTACAGGATGCAAATATTGAATGTAGCTTATTTTTGACAATTTTAGAAAATTAAAGATACTGGTTTAAAAATGCCCTAAAGGACCATAGGTGTAATGAAGCACAGCAGCCATCTTTTTTAGTTTGGTGGATTTAACGCAGTCTGGAATGTCCGTGAAATATCTTCATTCCTACAAACGTTCTGGTAAGAGTCAAACTGATGATTTTTGGTACGTAACTGGTACGTAATAGATTATATAAAGTACTTTCACAGTGTAAATAGTCCACTTGCACACGATAATCTTTGGAGATTAGTGTCTCTTGACGGATTTTTGTTTTGGGTTAAGCTTATGGTGAAAACCAATTTAACAGCCTGGCCCTACTTCTATTACAACCTCCCCCTCCGATCCCCCTCCTTCCCCCAACATTGGGTCCTGTAAACAAATAAAATATAATTTGTTACTTATGTTTGTATTTTCTTTGGACATGATGAGAATTAGGGAGGGTGTGCATTATTTGTGCAAGGGTCCAGATTATGTCAAGGTAGCAGGAAGTGACACAAAATTAATTATTCCTCTATATTGTGGTGCTACATTGTGGAGTTGTCCATCACACTGAAATATAATTTAAATTGAAATAGCAAAATAATATTTTCTATGAATTTAATGACAAAATGTAATTTCCAACTAATATTTCCTCTATGCTGTAAAAATGCATGTTTTTATATTACTAAAATAACCCTGACACGGTCATTTTGGTTATAAAATGCTACGTTCTATTAAAATAATGTGTCCCTGTCTACTTTTTCCCCTCACAAGATTTTAGTCCTGTTTTTGGAGTACTCTACTGTTTTTAGTAGAGTGCTGGGATTTTAGAATCTTTTCTATATATCAAGGAATCTACCCATCACTCTTTGAATAGACTGAAATAGAAAAAAATAAACACACGTAGAGTGACAATACAGTAAAGTGAGGGAGAGAAGGAAAAAAAAATCATGCAAAGTGATTTGATGTGTTGCGATTGTTGTTGCCATCTTACAATAGTAATGTCTATAGTTTATGTGTATAAGAGCAAACATTTTCAGCTTTGAAAACCTTTCTTTCTCCAGACCCAGAGAAAGGGAATAGGAAGAACCTTGCGGAGAGAACCAAAGGCTAGTATGATCGTCACAACTTATGCTGATAGAATGTAACATTCTTTTAAATCGATAATAATAAGATGAATCCATTGTAGTCCAAAAAAATGTTTTTTCAAAGTCACCAGAAAGTATATTCTTTGTTTATTATAATATTCTGTATGCCTTTGGGTAAGTTACTCTCATCATGGTTGGCAAAAGGCTTCTCAGTTTGGTTTCTTTAAGACCCATTTTGCTCCTCTGTTTTTTGGGGTCAGCTACAGATTAATCTCGGGACTTTATTCATTTAACATTCATCCTCTGAAGAGACAAAACAACGCAGATAAGCAGCGCCCTTGTTTACAGGCCTTCCACCGCGGTAATGGATGCTGGAGTGGAAGAACGTGATGTTGCACTTGATGACCTCTCCAAGGTGGGACTCAGCAGAACCGGGTCGGAGGGTTTAGGAATCAAAGAACGTACAGGGGTCAAAGGCTTGGCCTGACTGTGCACATTCTGCCCACAGATACGATGGTGCTTCTCCCAATCCTTGTGCTGACAGAATGAGCCACAATATCGAGCAATGTTACACCCACTGCAGGTCTCACTCGCCTTACGACCACAATTCCAGCAACTCTGTAGAAGGAAAAAAAAAATACAATGTGACTAACATTAAACCATCAATATTACTAGACACTGATAAAATATGCTTCTTCTGTCATGCAATTCCCATGCACAATATAAAAATAAATACAGGAAAGAGTTGGCTTAAAGGGATACTATAGTCACCAGAACAACTACAGCTGTTATGAGCTTTTCAGAGAAAAGGCAGTGTTTACATCACAGCCTAGAAACACCTCTAGTGTCCACTCCATGGACAGCCACCAGAGGTGCTTACTGGGTCTCCACGCTCTGCATGGAGACACTGAACTTTCCCCATAGAGATTCATTTATTCAATGCTTCTCTATGAGGAGATGCTGATTGGCCATGGTGGCATTTGGCTCCACCCACAGGCCATCCTCCTTGGCTGGGATCATCAGAACTGACGATCTCAGCCAATCCAATGCTTTCCTATGGGAAATCATTGTGGTTGGCTGAGATTATCCATTCTGATGATGTCCACTAAAGGGGCGAATCCTGTGCCAGCAGACCCGTGCGGCACTGGAAATTAGGTGAGTAATTACTATATTTAAGGGGGTAAGGGAGGCCTGGGTGGCTAAATAGTGTTTTTAATGTGTATTTCTGGCCCTATGGTGTTCCTTTACCTATATAGTTCATAAACACAGCTTCAAACAGTACAAATGGAAATTTTGTTAATATTTATTATCTGGATAGATAGAGCCCTGCAGGAAATGTGTCTGGGTCTGAAAAACGCCTGAAAAACAAACCTCAGGAAAAGAAAACCAACATAAGGTAGCATGCATGCTGCGATTATACGCATTTTGTTATATGGAAACTAGTCTTGATTGGTTTCTCCACATCACATGGTTATGAATTATCTAGTCTTTTACAGCATCCACATCTAACAATATTAGATCTCCTCAACTGAGCACCAATGATAAACTTCCAAGTTATTTAAAACTTTTTTTTTTTTCCATTCTGCTATATTTGAATATGGACTGCAAGTTTAGAGTGATTGGATATCCTCTTGATCTGGGGCATAGGCAGATAGTTCTCTAGATGGGTTTGAACTACAAAAGACATAATCCTAGTCAATCACGGTCTGAGCAGTGTGTACCTCTGTGGATTCCTCCTGCTCATTGACCACTACAAAGGCATCTTCTGTAGCTCTCCGCTTGGCATCCGCGATAGTCTGCTCCATCCTGGCTCTCTCTGATGCAATCATCTCAAATGCTTTCTGTTCAGCCTCAGACACCGCTTTCTGGACCTCTGACATAGCCTGACGCTTCACCTCATTGACAGCCTCCTCTGAGAGAAAAAGCGAGGAAATTCAGTTTACACACAGCGGAATAACACTGCCATATTATGCTATGTATATCAACACAGATCTGGATCCTTCACCTAAAACAACTTTATATCTATTAATAATAACATAACATTTAAAAAATGTACCTTCTAATTTCTGCATACATAGTTTAGTAGTTTTAAATATCATTAAAACAATAAATATGAAACGGAACCCTGGACAACCTGTCGGATATACTGTAATTAATATGCCAAGAAAGCCATAATATTTTGCAGCCTGTCCTTTTAACTGGTTTCCGGTTTGTGTTTTTATATTGTACTAACTATATTTTTATAGCAGGCCATTCAAACGTCCACCAAAAAACTGTTTGCATAACCAGATTTCCAAATAAGGAGGTCTATGTGGCCCGGGAAAAAGGTGAGCTGCAAGGGACCATAAAAAATATCTAATATATTAAAAAAAAAAATGTTTTACTTTAAATGGACACTTTAAGCACCATAACCACTACGGTCCAGAAGAGATAACAGAAGCTCGAACTTCTGGCACTCTAAAGGGTATAGTGGAGGTGCTTTAGGACAACGTACCGTTTGTTTCTTTCTCAAAAAAATGACTGAATTTAAGAGTATTTAAAACCCACATAATCCTACTTTTATCAGGAAAGCATCAAAATTTTTTAGCAGTTCTGATATATTTCAAAGATAAAAAAAACTAGAAGGTGCATGCTGGAAAATATGTTCTAAACAAAAGAGTTGGGAAGTATGCACTTAAAAATAATCAACTGCTGAACCACATAACATTTAAAATCTACTTAAGATAGTGTACACATTGTATGTATTGTACTTTAGTGACTAATAAGTTCCATGTGTGACAAATTAAGTTTAAAGTGTTTTTTATCTTTAAATTGTTCAACTTTTATAGGGAACCTATCACCACTTACCTGGCCCTCTGCTCCCCCACCACAATCTTATTACCGAGGTGGATGTTACACTTCTGCAACACCCATCACTGGTCTGTCCGTGCTCACTTATTTGCCCTGCTTGGGGACTATTCCTCAAGGAGTGCAAACCTCTTCTATGATGCTGACATGCTGGCTTCGTTGCCTGCATGCTGGCGTCTGAACAGAGTCATGTCAGTCACTCTGTTCCTGAACTCCATAGCCAGCACAAGCAGTGCCAGCTAGGAAGTTACCCTAGCTACCACATTGCATGTGCTGTGGTTGCTATGGCTGGAGAGCAGAAGGACTGCCTGTGGGTGGGTTTGAATTAATCAATTCATTGGCAGAGAGTCTATGCAGAAGAATTGATTAGCAGGTGGGTGAAAAACCTCCCCTGGTTTAGATCATCATTACAGATGATGTCAGCCTATCCAATGCTTTAGAGAAATATTCATGGACTAGTGTGCATGCATGAAAATTGTCATGCTGCACCAATCAACATCTCCTCATTGAATGTTCAATGTCTTCATGCAGATACTTCAGAGTTTGCCTTGCTGAGTTTGCAGGGACAATCTCTTTACACCAGAACTACTACATTAGGCACACCCTGGTGCATAGATTATCCCTTGAAATATCACATTTCTCATTTATTGCATTTTAAAAGTTTTTAAGGAACCATTAAAGTCACCTAGACACTTAATTTCAATGAAGTGGTTTTGGTGCAGTTGTCCTGCCATTGTAACCCTTCTATGCAAGTCATTGCTGTTTTTGTAGCACTGTCGACATTAAAGGTTTAATGACACATAATGACACATCTAGTGGCTGTCAGGAAGACAGCTGCTAGAGGTGCTACCGCCTCCTAGAACCAAAACTCGGTCCTGCAATCAAATTCTGCTTCTAGCAACATTTAATTGGAGGAGCACTGTGTCTACTTGCACATGCATATCTCCAATCCACTGCTTCTCTAGGAGAAGGCATGTTGACTTTCTTCAGAGGCTTCATTTGGGTGCTGAATAAGAGGTTACTAATCTTTATTTAACAATATATATATTTTTTTTATTGGCAAAAGTGGGGTGGACAGTGGTCACAATGATAGAAGGGAGCATATAGTCCTGAAAAAAAAACTACTGTATATTTGGGACTATTGGTTTCCTTTAATTAAAAAAAATATTTATTTACAAAACTGAAATCAGTTGCATGTCTTAGCATGTAATTTACAGAGGTAAATGGTAAAAGTACAGAAAAAAGAAATAATGATATAGGGGCCCTACTAATATTGATTTTAGAAGTGGTGTCTGGTATTCATATGCCAAACCATTAATACTGCTGTATTGTCACCTCATTACGGATATGGAAAGATATCCCCATAATTATGTTATATTCTCTCTACTAAGCGCACTCAGCCATATCACACCTCTGGCTGCTTTGTCCCCAGAAGATAGAAGACATCGTGTACCTGCTTTCCTCCAGATCTCATCAGTAACATAGCCTGCTCCTGTTCTGCTGCCGAAATCACGCTGAGAATCTGCAAAACCGGGTTACAGTGTGTGAGTGTGTGTATATTTATAGTCTAGATATAGCAATATAGCATCTATTGAGAAAATAACCGTTTGCTGGTGTATATGAATGCTACAAAGTTGAAAGGAGGGAAAAAGAGCAAAAGCAGGAAGATTACATTGACTTGTTTAACGGTTAATGTCAATGATGTTGGTGGTTTACCCTTCTGTGAGCGTGCATTTAAAGATTTGAACAAGCTCAAAGATTGTCACAAACTTGGCCCATTCAGTTTCTTGAAGTCTGAAACAGACCTCATGAGAGGACATCTGGGACACAGGAAGGCAAGTCCATCAAATTTTTATGATTGATGGATTGTAGGTAAAGTGGCTTGGTAATGGAAACTCAACGTTGCCTAAACGGTGCCCAATGCGAATTAATGCAAAATACCATGCTCTACTTAAGATAAAGTTTCCCTAAACTAAGGAGAATTACAAAAAAATAAACATATATGGAAATAAATAGGCAAATAAAGACCAATTTAAAGCTGTAGTACAAAAGGCTATCCATCAATGATATAGCAGAGTTCAAAAAGACCAATTACTATACAGAATTTTAAATTCAATAAGACTCACCACTGCTTCCGGAGTCTGTGCTGGTTGGACTGTGTTGTCTGCTGTTGTGGCCACTTCCCTTCCTGAGCTCAGCAGACTCATTACATCTCCTCCTTAAGTAGTTAAGTTCATCCTTGTCCACTTCCTGACACCTTCGTAATACAGCCATGGATCGCTTTGTTTTTTCGACCATCTCCATGATGCAGTTGAGCGCCTGTGAGAGGGTGGCCATGTTGTTAATTATAGAGTCTACATGAGAAAATGGCTCAGCAGGAACAGATCATTTTAAATGCATGATCAATATGTTGCTATAATGTTTAACAATTAATAAAGCTGAAACATTTGCACAAGAGAAGAAGAGAAGAAACACTTACATGATCCAAATGCTTCCATTCTTCAGCCCACTCCCTCTCAGTCAGTCGATGATCCACAAGCTCTTCTTGAAAGCTATTATTTAAATTCCCATTCATACCTGTGAACAGGGGACAAATAAATTGCATTGGGCTACATTTACATCATTTACATTCACTACCATTTTGTTTACAGCTCTCTTTTACTTCATACCCATGATTTGGTGACGCTCTCTCAAATCTCTGTGGTCTCCTATTTTGCCCATGTTGTCACGGTACAGTTGTGAGCCAGGTATATCTTCCAAAGTATAGTGCTGTAGAGGAGGTGGTGTGGGGTGGAATTGGCTGGTAGCATTCAGAAGCGGCAGAGACAAGGCCGGACTGTGCCTGGGTGCAGGGCTGATAGTGCACACCCGTTTAACAGGAGGTTCAGGTGGAAGAGGGTCTCTCTCAAAGACATTATCTTCTCTCCTACAAATAATAATTTTTATTATTACAAGTTGCCATGTTTATGAACATTATTATTAAAGTATCTTATTTATTCATGGGCTCTCTTACCAAGGAAATCCTTTGAATAGAATGTTGGGTCACATACATGGAACCTTTCTCTTTGTCCTGTCTGTTTACAGACTTGTCCCCTGGCATTGCTCTTTAACACAGTGGTTTCCAAATAAGTCCTCAAGGCACCCCTACCGGTCCAGGATTTAGAGATTACCCAGCCCTGTCTAAGGTGTTTTTTCTTTCTTTCTAAAACACCTTAGACACAGCTAGATAATCTCTAAATCCTCAACTGGTATGGGTGCTTTGAGCACTGGTTTGGGAACCACTGCTTTAAAAGAACTTACCACTGCCTTTGACCATGAAAAATTATACGTGCTTTACCGTTTCAGAACACATTAATCCAAAATCCTATACCTGTATGTGTCCTCAGTCACATATCCCTCACTTACATTTTAAAGGCCTAATACACCACGAAAAACATCCATTGTAACTTACCTCTCTGGACTGTGTCTTTTTCCATTTCCATTGACCTCTATTAGTAATTCAGAGGAGTCAGATGGAGAAGATGTGTTGGTGTTGAGGAGAATATGTTCATGTTGAGCCAAGTACTGGGAAGGAGTCTGCTTGGCAGCACGGGCACAATGCAGCAATTCTCGCTGGAGAAGTGGTAAGTTCGCCTTTAAATGAAAAGAAATAAAGTGCTCCACATTAGTTTATTCTCTCATTTTTGCCATCAACCATTGCTAATGTAAGCGGTGACTAATGACGCCATTGTTTTTTCTCTCTCTCCACAGTATATTTTACTAAATGTAAAAAGTGAACATTTAGATGGCTAACCTAAAATGGCCTTTGACCGGTGAATGTAATATCCATCACAGCAATCTGACAACCTTTAAACGCCTTTTTGTCCTATTTATGTTATGTGAGTAAGCCTATAAAAAGACACTAATGATGAAGAAGTAAGACATTCTATTTTGAGTTAGAGACCTTAAAAAGGGAGAATTATCATTTTTAGGTCAGTCATTGATAAAGAAATAGGTGTGTATTTATTATTGCTTAACTTGAAGTTTCCATTTTGCTTTGCTCTGCTTTTTGCATGCTGTCATCAACTTTGGGACTCCCCTTGTTTTCTGCCAGCGTGTCACAAAAAAGTCACATTTGAAACTTTAGAAAGCTCAATTAATTTACTACTAGCCAGAAGATATTCTGAACATACACATGACCCATGCATGTACATGGCAACAAAAAGTTTGTGCCCACCAACATACGTACATGTGCATTAATCATCTCAAAAACTGGGAGCTCATTATCGTCTTTTATATCCTTCATTTATCATCTGGCTCTATAGCTGAGGACCACAGTATCGGGCATTCATTGGCCAATGTTTTCTTGGACTAGTGGGCTTTGAGACCTTATTAAAATATAGTCTTTTTCTTCCAAGTTTCATTTGACACTCAGTGTTTGTTGTTACTTGCTCTTGATGCAAGTTGATGCAATGTTTTGGCTTGGTATTGTGCAAACTGCATATCTCCCAGTCAAAACAAACGCTGAAAGTCCACGAACCATGCAAGTAAATTGCATGCATCTTTTAAGCCCAAATCATATCCTGTGTTATACTAGTTTTTCTGGCAAGTAGTAAATTAACCCGTCAATGTTAAAATGTCAACAGGTTGGCTTTGTCTTTATCCCATTGTTCCGGGCACTACAATGTGATAATTTGTCCACATTCCAGAGGACTGTTGCATATGAGTTTTATATTCTCTAAAATGTTACTACTACACAAAAATGCTTCTACCGGAATGCTCATCACCTTGACTCATCATACCTCCATCTGTCTCTCCTTTTCAAGTTTAAATTTTTTACCTTTGTATACAGTGACCTCAATGACTCTGCTTCTAAGCATATTTTGGTCTTTACTATGTGATATACTCCTACAAGGCAACATTCCTTTTTACCTTCACCTCTAGCTGTCCTCCCCCGTTGTCATCTATTCTCTCCTACACTGCAAAAACTTTTCTTAATAAGCCCTATTTCTCTTGAACTTGCTTCCAATTCTCTTTCTTAATCATCAAGAAAACCATCAAAACCGAACTCTTCAAAGCAGATTACAGTCACCCAATTATACCTCACTTGTCACTGATACTATTTACTTAGTTCAGTTCTTCACCTATCAACACTGACAGTGCTGACTGCTTATCTGGGTTACATAGACTTGTGCATTCAGTTTCAAATGAGCTGGGAGGCCTGCAAACTTTGGGAGATCTGCAGGTCGTCCGAGTTCTCTAACTCCGAAGCGCCATATGGATATTTAGTGAACGAACTAATCAGAAAATTTACCACGTAGAATTTCGGACGTCCCGAACAAATTTTTTATTTTTGTACGAATTGATTCTGTGGAATTACATTTTTCTAATGTGCTAGTGTTTTGCATATTTTCCACCCTAATGGAATTTAAGGTTGAAAACGCAGCTTGGTCTGCCTTATGCAATCAGGTATTTTAGTCTGTCACATTTAGTTTGTAATACCTCATAAATACTGTTCAAGTACTGTGTAAAATACTGGCAGCAGTAAAAAAATATTAATCTTTTCCCGCTGAAGCAAGTTTCTTTTCCACCTGTTAAAGCAGTGCCGTCAAAAGTGTACTTGTTTACAATTAATTTAAAAAAAATCTAACAGAAATTATCAAGATCAAGAAAATAAATAGTTTTGAGGTTACATTTCCTATACCAAACGTGATGTCTAATCTTCTAACTGCAGGGAGTGAGCAGGAAATTTGATCTCCGTGTCTTGGAGGAAGTTGTGAGCAAAGCATTTAAAATTAATTATTTTTGGTGTTTTGCCACATTTGGGGTTTCCACAAAAGGAGGGGTTTAACATTTGTGAAGATAAAAAAAAAAAAAGTTGTTGCAATTATATAAAACAGCTAAACCAGACCATGATGTTTTTCTTTATTTTTATAGTTTTTGGAGCCCATTCCCATTAGCAAAAGTTTACATTTCTCGGTTCTTAGTTGAATGGCATTGACAACACAAATAAAACATTTTATTTCACTTTTATTGTATATTTGTTTTTTCTGCTTAACATTTTTACTATGTGTTGCAGTATTGAAGAGGTTAGCTTGCATGATTACTGAGCATTTCAGGACTAGAAAATGTATTTTATCCCAATTTCTAAGCCACATTTTCTTTTTTTCTTTCTTATTATGGGTATTTATGTGAAGAAGCCTGTTCCTGTTTGTACACTATATAAATGACCCCCAATTATCTATATACCTGGTGATTATGAATGAAGAAAGACTAGCAAGGTTATTCAACTAAGGGAGAATTGCAGCGACTTCAAATTGAATTTTAAATGTACGCCAAAAATAGTCAAAAGACAGAATTGACATACAGAATATATTTTTTTATATTTGGATATTCTGACCTCAATTTTGAGATTTGCTAATTCCCAGCAATTTTCGCATTGTGTGTTAGCTCATCGAGCAAACAAGTGTTAATGGATTAATTTTCATAAACATTATACATATACGTTCACAATTTGAGATGAAATGAGCTGGTTCATGGTGGCCTGGGAGCTTTTTATACCCACAACCCCATCAATATCTCGTGGGGCATTTGGGTAAGCAGGAGATCCTCAAATAAACAGATCTAATTTCCATGCTCCCAAAGTGGTTATTTGTATTACAGACTTAACAAATACAATGTCACACCAGCACTCTTTTAGACTCTTTTAGACTAATAAAGTAGAGCAATACTTGACAGGGAAGGGGATAGAGATATTTGCTGCCAGAGAAAGAAATTCAGCTCTTCCCACTCAACTGCTGAGGACCAATGCCTGGATTCCAGACCGGTCACTCTTCTTTTAATGTTTGGCAAGATGGAGAGGTGCTAAGGAAGAAAGATAAGGGAACACTCCACACAACTTGTTTGTAGAAGTGCTTTATGAGTGAAGAGAGTCTGCTTCTCACCCACCCCTCCCACCCCCAATTTAAAAAAAAACAGCAGATATCAATATAAATTGGCACTTTTATAAATTAACCTTGTTACGCCCCAATGACAGTCAATCAGACAACCAGTCATGTTACTTCCTGGTTTGTTTAGCTCAGTGGAGCTAAACTCAAGAGACATCAATTGCAAAGACTTTTCATTGATCTGCATTGGAAAGTCTGTGATTGGACAGCCACAGAAAGTCTGGGTGGGATTAGAAGGGGAGGGCTTGCAAAGGCTGCAATCAATATTTACAGCTTTTGCGAATTGTTTGTAGGTATACCCCACATAAATAATAATACATGCGTGTTTTCATGGGGGGGCAGTGGTGTGTCCCTGTTTTCTAGTGAGCATCTCAAATAGGACCAAAGCATATTATAGTATGGAACCCCACACCTTAAAACTACAGCCCTAGCCCTTAATTGTCAGGATGCCTAACATTTGAGTAGATGAGTTTTCTCAACATCTCACTTACCTTTAGAAATGGGATGACAAAAGGACGCAGTGGGAAATTGGTGGCTTCTTGCAGCTTACAGTGAAACTCCTCGATGGTCACTGTTGAATTCTAAAAAGAAAGATGAGGGCAAGTGAGGGAAGGACTAAGGCACGTGAGCATAGGAGATTAGTAATAGTGCAGAATAAACTGGGAAACAAAGTAAAACATTTTACATTTCCTCTCTCCTCCCTGCTCTAAACATGGAACCCAAAATAAGGGTTATCTAAATCACAATAAAGGGCAATATAACAGGGAACCAAAACCAAGGGTTTTTTAAATTTCACTAAAATGCATTCTAGGACAGAAGTAGAAGTAGCCTCAGAACAATTTATACTGAAGAAGAAGTTAGCATACTGAATGGAATGGCTAATACATTAATCAGAAGCTTTAATCTGGATCTCTTTTTATTTGATATTACAAATTCAGCTTGGAGTGTTGGGGAATCAGAGTGTCCCCTAAAGAAGCCCTTCTCAACTGGTGGAATAGCAATTCCTAATGCAGCACCATGGAATGCGTCCTCTGCACGTGCACACAGAATAATACATGCCACAAAGCAGAAAAAACTGGAAAATCCCAGGCTCTGCGTCCAGCTGCAGGAAATCAAAAGCCATTCATTATGCAAGTCTTACGCCCTATTTACACTAAAACTTGTAAAACTCTTAGCTCACTTAGAAGGCATCTTACATAAGAATAGGATTAAAATCTCCCTATTACGTATTTTATTTGTGTTTAAATGAACACTATAGTGTTATAGATACAAACATGTAGTGCTGGGCTACCTATTTACCATAGGAAAGCAATGGCAGCTATTCTGCATGCGCGGCAAAATGCTGTGTGGCAGCAATTAGTATTTTCTCATAGAGATGCATTGAATCAGTTACATCTCTATGGGGAGCGTTCAGCGTCTTTATGCAGAGCGTGGACACGCTGAAGTAGGCACTGCACAAAATGCAGCAGTAAACCAGGAAGCACCTCTAGTGGTTGTCGGAGTGACTGCCACAAGAGGTGTTACTAGGCAGCAATGTAAACACTGTCTTTTATCAGAGAGAAGACTGTAGGGACATGCTATAGACACAAGAACATTAAGCTGTAGTAGTTCTAGTGTCTATAGTGTCCCTTTAATATGCTGCTGCATTTAACCCCTTTGAAATTTTAAAGAATTTCACTAACTTCTTGCCATGAAAGACAAAGACAAAGCAGATACAATTTTTTCTTAACTAGAACTTTTTATGAAAGAACTATTTTCCTCTGATTTACATTCTCACTTAAGGCAGAACTATTACCATGTGGAAATGACAATACCTGTTCCAACAAACCAGTAAATGCTATTGCAATAATAATAATAATAATAATAATAATAATAATAATAATAGCCTACATTTAGGTAGTGATTTGATTGTACAAAAGTTCCTCATTAAGCTGAAAATGCAGCATTGAAGCAACTCTGGTGACTAAGCGTATAATAGTTTGGGAACTTTTACAGTACTTGAAATATCTCTAATTTGGTTCCTACAAAAATCAAGATGACTTTTCAATATGTGTGTCTGACTCCTACACTCTACAGGAATGGAAAAAAAAATACGAGCCCCATCTGTTTTAGAAACCGCTTTTACAGTATTTAGCAAGTAGTACTACTACACCTCTGCTTCAAGCAAAGTTGTCCTTTTTTTGGCAAGGAAAAAAAACAATATAAAATTAGAGTACTCTGTAGATCATGGTCCCTCAAATTTAAAGTGCAGAAAAAGGGACATGTTTGCAAGTAGATTTCTTTAGGGGCAGAATCTTTTTTTGGGGGGGCGGGGAGGGGGTTGTTTTAGAATGGCACTCCAGCATGGGAACAAATGACAGATGGATTTGGATGGCAGAGAGACTGTCCTTTGTACATAGGGCCACTTGGGAGGTTTGCTGAGATAACAGAAACCATGACAGGACCAGATATATAACTGTAACTCTGGGAAGATAATGTCTCCGACCCTGCAGAGTCATTTCATCATTCCAATGTAGTTGCTCAGATGTCACAGAAGTTTACATTTGAGTGTAAAATATGTTTGGAACTTGAATATTTTCCCCAGTTGCTCCATGAAGTTATATGCTTTTTAATAGCTTCATATTTTTTAGGTCAATAACCATTAGAAGAGAAACTGTTTGCACCCGTTGCCGTGAACTTACCACCAGGGCCAGGACAAGAGTTCGGACTTTCTCTCCTATTTCGGGGGAGATGTCATTGCCAAATTGCTGCAAGGTCGTAAGAAACCTTTTAAGTTTGCTCAGTTGTCTGACGCCACAGGTGGCAGGGAGCTGCTGATTGGCAAGTGAAGAGGAGGATGAAGACGAAGGACCGTTGCTGGAACGTTGGGGAGGAGAAGGAGCTCCATTCAGGGAGGGCGGAGAGTGATTAATACCATTGGTGACTATAAATAAATGATTTAAAAAAAAGCAAGAAAGATTATTATGTCCACTGTTAACAACATTGAAAATAACTTTTGGAAGACTGAGAATTTGTTTACAGGATATAAGGCAGGAAGAAACAATTTTGAAATAATAACGTCATTTCTAGAGGAAGCGCGCCAGATTATGATCAAGGTTAACAAGGAGTTTGCATGACAACATGGCAGTGAGCCATTGCAAAAGGAAAAAAGTAAGCCCACAGAAATGACAAGAGAGGTAAAGTAACTATATGAAATAAAGCACAGTGTGGACACAGGGATGACTTGAACTCTAAGAAGGAGACAATATTTAAAAGAAGAAAAACTACCGCAACAAGAGGACATAGTCTTAAATTAGAGGGGCAAAGGTTTAAAAACAATATCAGGAAGTATTACTTTTCTGAGAGGGTAGTGGATGCATGGAATAGCCTTCCAGCTGAAATGGTAGAGGTTAACACAGTAAAGGAGTTTAAGCATTCGTGGGATAAGCGTAAGGCCATCCTAACTACAAGACTAATGAAAGTATTTAGAAAATTGGGCAGACTAGATGGGCCGAATGGTTCTTATCTGTCAATACATTCTATGTTTCTAAGAAGCTAGGACATAAGATGCAAAAAACAGACTATGCTCAACAAGGTGAAAATGTGTTTTTGATGATATGAGTGATTAAAAGATAGCAAAGACGAGCAACAACAAAGCAGATACTGGACAGCTAATCACAAATACACACACACAAAAAAGCCATACAACAACAGAATTAATTGGATGTATAGTGCTAGTGACAACAAATAGACGGCGTATAACAATAAGAGCCAGCAGCAGGTACAACATAGCTCATTCGGGACAGGGACAATACGAGACAGCAGAGAGTATGAGATCATTTGTAAATGGCAGAGCACAATAAGCACAGGGTGAAAGGTGGTCATAATAGAAAAGAGACACTAGGGTGCGCCAAAAAACTTCACTTCTCACTGGAACTTGTTCTGTACACAGCAGTCAATATGGACACCCATAAAGGTAGCATCAAGGTGTGCATCAACACTGAAACTAACTAACCCAGACTAAGTAACCTAAACCTGTCAAGCATCTCAGCAAAACCAAGCACAGCAGTGGAGAATCTTTTATCTAACTTATTGTCTTAATATTGCATCCATCGCCTAGTGTACTAAAAGATTCAGGCAAGGCATCCCCTTCTTTCTTCTGCACTCAGATTGCAGTTATATTTTATATATATTTATTTTAAATTTTTTTTATATTATTATTGGAATAAAACATTTTATTACTGCATTTTTAATACCATGCTGATGCCTGTATTATCCAAAAAAATAATAATAATTGTGCAATGTTTACGGTCTCTTTCATAGACACTCACATATGTGCACACTTGTCTGTGAATTCTTCCCCTTTGGCAGTTATTATTTCCTATTGGCTGCATCGTAATATTATATATCAGAATTAAATGGTATTTAGTAAATATTGAATATTTGGGGTGCATTGTAATTAAAAAAAAAAAAAAAAATACAGTGCAAGGGCTAATACTTAGGGCAGGAGAACTGCACTGATTACTCTACAGATATTATTAATCTATCAGTCTGACAACCCTTAATTAGCCTAAATATAAATGGCCACTTTCCCCTGATTTATAGCAAGATGATGGAGATGACATACGTGTTGATGGTGGGAAGGAGACAGGCCTGGGCCCGCTGGGGTTCACTGGTGGCAGAGGAGCCATGCTCGGAGGAGAGGATCTGGAGTGAATCTTCACTTCCATGGGAGAACCGGGCATCGCTGGTATCCTCTTGTCACCAGTAACTGTGAAGGAAGAGGTACAGTATAAACTAGAGATAACATACCATCCAGTGCTCTGCAGTACATCCAGCCACAGGGTATTTAATAAAATGCACTGTTACAACATAGCATATATAAAGCCACAGCATACAACTGCAAGGTCACACAACTGGTTTCATGACTTTATCAGCATGGGGAGCCATCTGGTGTGCGTGATTCTCCTCTGTACCAGCTGCAGGAAGCATGTTCCCTCATCCCCTCCCTGCATGGAAGAATATGCTCCATGGTTTCTAACCTTCACAGCCTGTTTGTTTCCCACCACATCCTAGACTTTGCCAGAGAGCAACTGCGAAGGCAAGAAGGAAGGGAATAGCTCTCCCAAAACTTTCAAGCACATAGTAGCTCCCATATTCAAATTTTCATATAATATTATAAACATTATTCATTTTGCTTGAATCCAACGCACAACTTATGGTAAATCATTTACAAATACTTTTACGACCCTGGAAACAGAACTATAAACCAACAATATCAAACCCAATCACAAATTGATACAAGCTTACATCTGGCGATCACTGGCTCCAAGTTTCCAAGAGTCCTGACTGTGTTTTTCTCTAAGCGTTGTGGTGAAACCACTCTCCATCTGTTTCCCATTTGTGCCAAGCTAACATTCTCCTCTGCGGAGTTAACCTTGTCAATGCCGGAATCAAGAGAAAAACACGCCATCTGGCCCAAGAATAAGTTACTGAATCATTTGATCCGGTAAAATATAATAAGGCAAGAAGAGGGCGGGGGAGGGAGTCGCACCCAAATAAATAAATAAATTATTGCGGTAGGGTTAAAATAATAAAGGTTTGTGGTTAATAATTAATAAAACCTCCCACAGCGAAAAATAAATAAATCCGTGGCCATCTTGTACAACGCGTTTCTTCGTGCACCTAATCAATTTATTTAATCATTTTCTTATTCAATTATAGTTCCACTTCATGCCCTGTATAATCTATTTAACATGTTTCACTGTCCCATAAAATAAACCACATTCTAGCTTAAATAAAGAGAAGACCTTACAAGTTCTGTATGCATCACCAGGAACCTTATGAAATTTGGCAAGCTTACTGCGGGCACTTAATGTGGGCCATATGTTCTCTTTAACTACTGCTATGTGTGGCCAGCCATTCCAGATGTTGAACTACATTTCCCAGAATTCTCTGCCAACCATTGGCAGAGGAAAAATAGAAGAGCCAAATTGTCAAGGTTGCATGCTGGTATTATGAATGTTTATAAAACATATTTAATGTAGTCCTACATTATAAATTCTACATATGTATGCCCAGAAAAATGTGTCTTACGGGTTTGATGAACAGGGCCAGATTTGACAATAGGCGACGATAACAATATATGGTCGGCTATGTCAAAAACAAAAGTAAAACCAGAATCCTGCTGGCTTGGACGGATAAACCAGGTCCACATCAGATGCTATGGGATCAGGGCAATCTGACGACAAGTAGGCTACTGGAAGAAATCATTCATAGACAAGAAGTGGGATCCTAGTCGTGCCTGTGGTTAAAGGAATACTTGGGGATGTAACCGCCAAGCTGGGAGAGTTGCTTCAGCAGATTCCAGGTGGGACATCTAAGATCTGTCTAGAAGATACTCAGACCCCCATGCCTCTGCTGACAACACAAAATACCACCTGGAGATGTGAGAAAGTCAATAAAAAAAAATTTAAATACACACATACAGGGAGTGCAGAATTATTAGGCAAATGAGTATTTTGACCACATCATCCTCTTTATGCATGTTGTCTTACTCCAAGCTGTATAGGCTCGAAAGCCTACTACCAATTAAGCATATTAGGTGATGTGCATCTCTGTAATGAGAAGGGGTGTGGTCTAATGACATCAACACCCTATATCAGGTGTGCATAATTATTAGGCAACTTCCTTTCCTTTGGCAAAATGGGTCAAAAGAAGGACTTGACAGGCTCAGAAAAGTCAAAAATAGTGAGATATCTTGCAGAGGGATGCAGCACTCTTAAAATTGCAAAGCTTCTGAAGCGTGATCATCGAACAATCAAGCGTTTCATTCAAAATAGTCAACAGGGTCGCAAGAAGCGTGTGGAAAAACCAAGGCGCAAAATAACTGCCCATGAACTGAGAAAAGTCAAGCGTGCAGCTGCCACGATGCCACTTGCCACCAGTTTGGCCATATTTCAGAGCTGCAACATCACTGGAGTGCCCAAAAGCACAAGGTGTGCAATACTCAGAGACATGGCCAAGGTAAGAAAGGCTGAAAGACGACCACCACTGAACAAGACACACAAGCTGAAACGTCAAGACTGGGCCAAGAAATATCTCAAGACTGATTTTTCTAAGGTTTTATGGACTGATGAAATGAGAGTGAGTCTTGATGGGCCAGATGGATGGGCCCGTGGCTGGATTGGTAAAGGGCAGAGAGCTCCAGTCCGACTCAGACGCCAGTATGGTGGAGGTGAAGTACTGGTTTGGGCTGGTATCATCAAAGATGAGCTTGTGGGGCCTTTTCGGGTTGAGGATGGAGTCAAGCTCAACTTCCAGTCCTACTGCCAGTTCCTGGAAGACACCTTCTTCAAGCAGTGGTACAGGAAGAAGTCTGCATCCTTCAAGAAAAACATGATTTTCATGCAGGACAATGCTCCATCACACGCGTCCAAGTACTCCACAGCGTGGCTGGCAAGAAAGGGTATAAAAGAAGAAAATCTAATGACATGGCCTCCTTGTTCACCTGATCTGAACCCCATTGAGAACCTGTGGTCCATCATCAAATGTGAGATTTACAAGGAGGGAAAACAGTACACCTCTCTGAACAGTGTCTGGGAGGCTGTGGTTGCTGCTGCACGCAATGTTGATGGTGAACAGATCAAAACACTGACAGAATCCATGGATGGCAGGCTTTTGAGTGTCCTTGCAAAGAAAGGTGGCTATATTGGTCACTGATTTGTTTTTGTTTTGTTTTTGAATGTCAGAAATGTATATTTGTGAATGTTGAGATGTTATATTGGTTTCACTGGTAATAATAAATAATTGAAATGGGTATATATTTGTTTTTTGTTAAGTTGCCTAATAATTATGCACAGTAATAGTCACCTGCACACACAGATATCCCCCTAACATAGCTAAAACTAAAAACAAACTAAAAACTACTTCCAAAAATATTCAGCTTTGATATTAATGAGTTTTTTGGGTTCATTGAGAACATGGTTGTTGTTCAATAATAAAATTAATCCTCAAAAATACAACTTGCCTAATAATTCTGCACTCCCTGTATATAATATGAATCATTAAACTGACACTAGCTTCAAGTATATAATGTTTGCGTATCAAGTCCTAAAGGAGTGCCAGTTTTTCTCATGGCCCGTCCTCTCTACCCATGAACGGTGTGCTGCTGAAGCTCTCCATTATCTCAATGAAAGCACAGTCAGACACATGCACATGCTGCACAGCCAGGAACTTAAAGAGGTCCCACCACACTACCTAACCAGTAGGGGGGTGCAACAAAGTTCTGTTCCCCAGCGTCCTTTCTTGATACTAACCCGGGGGGCACTACCCCCTACTCCTTAGTAGCCTGGCAGGGCACCATACTACTGATCTTTGTTTTTATAATAGATGCCTTGAGATACAGGGCTAAATACCCCTACATCTGGGGTTTCAGTCCCCTTAGCCTTCCCCCAGCAACACCTGTTCGCACACCTCTAAAAACATATACATTACCTGTGTTTATGCAGCGACCTGCCTAAAATATATTTTAATTGCCATGTTATATTTTAACAATATGAGGATAGAATTTGTACAGCATAATACAATGTTGATTTTTTTTTTTCCCCTTTAGGTATTAGACATATCACCCCACAACATGTATTACTGTTCAAGGGAAGGTAACAATACCAACAGTAGGAAAGGTTAATTCAATGAGACATAATGAATCCAGAATAGCAGTAATTAAAATAGGAGCATCTTCTGCGTTGTTCTAAACCTTACAATTGATAATACCTCCCAACAGTCCCAGATACAATTGCGCAGTCCTGTTTAAGAGTATCTTTGTTCGAGTAACAGAGGCTGCCAGGTACATACCCATCCAGAACTGTGTATAAAATAACATAATAGTAAAATAACAATAACACAATATAAAATATTAATTTTAGGCTATAAACAAACTGGAGAAATTCTCAAACGTCCATTATATTTTCAGTTTGACCATCGTAGCACAACATTTGAAATGTACTTTAAATCATGCTTCACCCTGCAAGTTATGTTTGGAGTTCACTTCCATAATTGGAAATAAATAAATGGGCCAAAAATGTACTTCCCTCCTCCCGGTATGGCCGTAGTATTCAAGAGTCAGAGAACAGCTGATACTATGACAGTCACCTGCAGCCTAGGGACAGAGGAGGAGGGGGCCTGAACTGTAATGCTAATTTACTAGAGGGACAATGAAGAAGGATGAGCACTAGTGAATGGGATTATGGGTAAACAGAGGCTGCACCTGGTGTTGGGAGCAGATGGGGGAAAGAGGGCATGTGTTAGAGGCAGGGAGCACATCTGTTGCTTGCACAATGGCAAAGCGCTTTCTCTCCCTCCTCCTTCCCATAATCCACACAGGGTTTTAACAGGAGTCTGAGTGGGTTCAGAGTATCAACAGGTTTTTTTTCCACCCCCAGATTCCCATGAAATTATTTTGACAGCAGGGTATTAAAAAAAAACAACAAAAAAAACATAACAAAACAGAGCCACAAATGCAAGGAACAGTTCCTTGCGTAATACGGCAACATTGTATTTAGCAGAGACATTAGACTAGATATTTAAATTTTCTTACTTAATGTGTCTTTTTAAATAAAATTGTCAATATAACGGTACATTCGATAAACAGGGAACTGTAAAGAAACAGAAAAGAAAATTTTAGGCCAAATTAGCTAGTTTTGATAAATCTTCCAAGTCGCCTAATTTCCCATCAGAACTATTTTGGTGTACAAATTGCCATTTCCTTGTCAAATTCCTAAAGTTACCCGGTTTAGTGATCAACCATGTGGTTTAGGTGGTGTCCGGGGTCTTATTTGGAATTATTATACAAGCAAAAGGGACCTGAGCAGAGATATTTCCCTATATCATCACCATTTGGTACCACGTTCAGTCTGAGTGATGCCCCACAGGGAAGCCTTGGCAGGGATCTGTGCTGGAACAACACAGGTTTCAGACATTACATCAAAATGGACAAAGTCCTTCTTTCACAGCATGTAGGCTAAGCGGTAGAGATCTCATTTTAAAAGCATCTTAAAGCATTAAGTTTCCAGTAATGTGTTAAAAATAACGTGGAAACATTATGCTGGAGTGTCCTTTTTAACCTTCTTTTAGACAGAGCAATGAGCAATGCCTTGCTTTGAGATGTGCTGAATAGCTTTCGGGCTCTCAAAGGGTTAACTCAGCCATGAGAATGTTAATGGAGGGAGATTAAGCAGACCATTGATATGCAGTTAAGGGGTATGAACTACACAAACAAAGCCTACAGAGGTCTATGATATCTCCTTCTTTATCAACTGATCTCATCCCTTAACAATGCACTTCTCTCATTTTAATGTTAGTGTTTGCTTATGGTTGGCTAACAAGGACAAATTTAAGCAAAGGGGGTGGGGGTGGGGTTCCCCAAATTATACGATTATTGAGCTATTGCAATAATAATAAAAAATACATTATAATCTTTGCTGAGCGAGAATACATGAATTGCAATTCTAAATAAAGAAAAAAGGATTGAGTCACGTCTTCACGCGTGACATATCCCTTTATCCTATAATGCAGAATGTATACATCTCTTTCTGATTCCCATAACATATCAAAATGGCCCACTTGCTATATTCTACACGCATGCTATTATTATTATTAGTAGTAGTAGTAGTATTTATATAGCTCAAACTAATTCCGCAGCGCAATATTAGTCTAATCGTGTCTTCCATGACAATAACAGGAAGCCAGCAGTCCTGTGTTAACAGATACCTTCTATAATCTATTTGCTCTCTGACTTAAAGGACCACTCTAGGCACCCAGACCACCTCAGCTTAATGAAGTGGTCTGGGTGCCAGGTCCCTCTAGGATTAACCCTTTTTTTTATAAACATAGCAGTTTCAGGGAAACTGCTATGTTTATAAGTTAGTTAATCCAGCCTCTAAAGCCTCTAGTGGCTGTATCATTGACAGCCGCTAGAAGCGTTTGTGTGCTTCTCACTGTGTAAATGCTTTCCTATGAGACTGGCTGAATGCGCGCGCAGCTCCTGCCGCGCATGCGCATTCAGCCGAAGAGGAGGATCGGAGGCGGAGAGGAGGAGAGCTCCCCGCCCGGCGCTGGAGAAAGGTAAGATTTTAACCCCTTCCTTTCCCCAGAGCCCGGCGGGAGGGGGTCCCTGAGGGTGGGGGCACCCTCAGGGCACTATAGTGCCAGGAAAATGAGTATGTTTTCCTGGCACTATAGTGGTCCTTTAAGTGCTCTTTAGATTTATACTTTTTTTCTGATTTATACAATCACATGGCGATCAAGTCATGTCTTGGCATACAATGTAAATTATTATGAATCCCATGATGCATTGCATGTCAATTCATGGGGATTGATGAGCATGTAGAGCTCATAAGAGCAATTCACTGGTGCATACACATTTGTGTGTCATTATGCAAAAAGTTGCCAGAGTGCCCATTAGTGCACATCTTGGGATGAGAGCAGTGCCATCACTTAGAAGTGTAGTGAAGGACAGTGTGTCTTATATTTGTATATTGCATTCCTTACTTTAGAATGTACTTGGGTAAGATTATTATTATTACTGGCATTTATAAAGCGCCAACATATTCCGCAGCGCTGTACAACTGGGAAAGACACAGCGTTGTACAATAAGAACAGACCGATACAACAGGATAAAGTGGAACTGGCATCACCACAAAAGATGTTGGTTTCATATTAAGTGCACCTCTCAGCATTGTTGTTATTCATAATTTTATATTATATATGGGTTATTCCATGTACAAAAATAACATATTTAAAGCAAAATTTGAAGTGTTCTGCCACAAAAAAAAAAAAGCAGTTTTGCAAATCCTATTAAATTTAGCAAACTTGCTAATGAATAAGTTATTCTAAAAAAATAAATAAATAATAATTTTTTAAAAAGTGCCTTTGTGTGAACAGAAAAATGATCCAGGTGTATTCCTTTAATGTCTAATATTTATATAGGTTTTTAGGTCTAAGAGTATATAGGTCAGTGTTCCTATAATGTGCGCTATTAAATACACACACCACACTCTCCCTTCCATGTGTGTTTAGCAGGAAGGATCGTTGGTCACTATAGTAACCCAACCTTTGCAGGGTTATTCGTTAAAGGGAGATTTTAAACTGAATTTAAAGTCAATTTAACATTTAAGACCAGAGTAGCCGAACTGAGAGCGCAGCTGACTTTCGATTACTTTTCTTGTGTGACTATTTTGACCTTAAATTTGAAATTCACTTTGGTGAACAACCCTGCCCAAGTCCATACATTGATATACACAGCACAGATCAATACATTCTTCCAATTAAAGTAAAACCTAAGCCCATAAATTATATCACAGACATCCTCTTAGCACAAACTTACCCTCCATTTTGGTTAGACACACAAAAAACAAAAACTGATAAGTCGGATATTTATACTGGTTTACTTAGGCAACATTGCAAAAACTAATTCTGAGATCTATTTAACAGAACAAGTGAAGTGGTCTGGGTGCCAGGTCCCTCTAGGATTAACCCTTTTTTTTTATTCTATAAACATAGCAGTTTCAGAGAAACTGCTATGTTTATAAATGGGTTAATGCAGCCTCTAAAGCCTCTAGTGGCTGTCTCATTGATATAGTGGCTGTCTCATTGATATAGCATTATGAATGCTTTCCTATGAGACAGGCTGAATGCATGCGCAGCTCTTGCCGTGCATGCGCATTCAGCCGAAGAGGAGGATCGGAGGCGGAGAGGAGGAGGAGAGCTCCCCGCCTGGCGCTGAAATAAAGGTAAGTTTAACCCCTTTCCTCGCCATCCAGCCCGGCGGGAGGGGGACCCTGAGGGTGGGGGCACCCTCAGGGCACTATAGTGCCAGGAAAACGAGTATGTTTTCCTGGCACTATAGTGGTCCTTTAAGATGACAGTCTATGCCGTTATTTAAGCATCCTATTCAAAACTTGAAAGTGCTGCTCGGAAATACAAATAGCCAACTAACTAACTAAGCAGCACATTAAGTCTAATATTTGGTCACTAAAAGAATTAATCATTCTGATTATATATATAATATATATATATATTGTAATTAACACGTTTTAATTATTATAATACGAAAGAAAAACATAAATACATCCAGCGTATCGACTGGATGCCCGAAGGCAGGGTCCAACAAAAGAACAAAAGAGATTGTATAAATATTTGCAAAAACATAACATACAGGGATATTATTTATAACTAGTGGGGTAATAGCTGCTTGATCCAAGGAGATATCTATTTTTTCCTAGTTTGTTGCAAAATTGGAAGCACTTCAGACTGGGTTTTTTGCCTTCTTTTGGATCAACAGCAAAAACATATGTGAGGAAGTCAGAACTTGATGGATGCAAGTCTCTTTTCAGCTATGTAACCATGTAACAGCATAAACCCTGTAAAAGATCCAAGAGTTTAGCGTTGTGTAACAATATATCAGGGAAAAGAAAAATCCATAACTCCACTGGCCAGGCCAGTGGGAGAAGCCACCACAGGCCACGGACCTGTGGAGCGTAAGCCTTCATCCAAAGGCTCCTAATTTTGAAGGAATGATCAGTGATTTCATGGATAGTAAATCATTCTGATATTTTTTAACTAAATACCCGGACTGTATTGTGACAGCCTTTGTTCCACATGACTGAGCTGTGAAAAAATGATCTGCCATCTTGGTTATACAGTTTCTCCGATACTTAAGCACAAGGCCCGAGCACCAATTAAATTAAACTATTTTCCAACCATTCACAACAAATTTTAAATCTGCCATTTAGGGACTAGGGACTTATATCTGTCATTTTCTATTGGATGGCAAACTACAACGATCAGCAAAGGCTACATCCATTAAGGACACATGACGGACATTTTCCGTCATGATTTCCTTTTATTTCTGAAGTTGTGTCCTTAAAGGGACTCTCCAGTGCCAGGAAAACAAATCTGTTTTCTTGGCACTGCAAAATCCTGCAGTTTCCCCTCCTTTCCACCCCCCATCCCATGTTGCTGAAGGAGTTCAAACCCCATTCGGTGACTTACCTGCATCCAGCGCCGATGTCCCTCTGACGTTTGCGGGGGAGATGGCCGCGCGCATCAGACCTCCCCATGGGAAAGCATTATTCAATGCTTTCCTATGGGGATTCCGGCGACGCTGGAGGTCCTCATGCACTTCTTTTTGTGTTTTAAGAAGCTGGAAGTCCCTCTAGTGGCTGTCCGCCACTAGAGGAGGACTTACCCCTGCAAGGTAATTATTGCAGTTTTTAAAAAACTGCAATAATTACACTTGCAGGGTTAAGGGTGATGGGAGTTGGCACCCAGATCACTCAAATGGGCAGAAGTGGTCTGGGTGCCTGGAGTGTCCCTTTAAGGGGTTAACCTCTAGACAGGTACAGAACACTAATAAACAAAATTAAATAAATAAACATTGTTTGAAGAAGAGGCATCTGGGTAACTTCACACAATACTGCATTTTCCTGCATCCTGCTAAAATAATTGATGGTATTATAGACAAAATCAATAAGACTGAGCAATCATGACTGAAAAAAGCCAGGAGGGGTGGAATCTTCAAAGTGATTAAAACAATTGCTACATAGGGTTTCTATTCAGACAACAATGTTACTGTAGGTTACACAGTGTTCTTGTCATTAACAATTTTTTCAAGGACATTCTTATTAACCCATAGTAACACAAATTAAGTTGAATGGCATTCTTTGGACATCACAAGCAGTAAAATATAATTTCGGAATCTTTATATGTTCCATAGCCAATTACTGTAAATATGAACTGTGCATTTATTTATTATTCATTAACATGACCGTCACCATGAATAGACCTGGAAAATATACAAACAACAAAAAATACACACACAATCAAAATACACAATAAACCGACCTACGAAAATGGGCTATTTCACAAATTTCCCATGGATGAAAAAAAAAAAAAAAAGAGACAAAGACAAAAAAAAGAAACAAACCAAAAACATGAAATTGGAAAATTAAACATCGAAAAATCAAAAAAGAAAATATTCTGATGTTAACATGGTTTATATTCTTTAAACCGAATAGAATTAAGAATTCGTCTAAGATCGACATAAAATGTGTTGCACCTAAAAACTACACAACATTTTATATACATATTTACAGATTACTATAAAATATAGTGTGTTAAGTATATATATATATATATATATATATCCAAAAGACATGAAGAGGTTACAGAGAGAACTGCTCTATAGAAAAATATAAAATAAATTGGGAAGAGGGGGGGGGGACCAAAAAATTAAAACCAACTTACCGTCAGGGATATGCGGCTGTGGAATTTGATATGGGATTTTTGTGGGTCTAACTGAATGGGATCCCCCTCCACCCCTCTGTGGATTTAACAAAACTGTGATTCCTCAGTTAGTTGGAAGAAACAGGTTTGTGCTGGCGCAGATGGACTGCAGATGTGTTGTCAAACTGAGCTCCCCCCCCCCTCGCTTTCCAGAGGGAGACATCCCCCCCCCCTTCTGTCTATCTCTGCCTAGCGTTCTCTCTCTCTCCATGTCTCTACCACTGTTACTAAGGGCTGCTTGCGTTTCGATGTCACTAGATATACACCTACCGCTGGCTCGGAGCCAATAGGACTGTAAGTCCTTAATATGCGCAGGGCTTGTTTATGGCTGGCCGCATTGGGGGGGAAGGCTCTCAGCCCGGGGAGTCGCGCCGTAGGATGGGGGGTGGTATTGAGACGTCTATAATCCGACTGCTGTCACCAAGCTCAGCAGATCATTGCAGACCATTATCGCAGAGAGCCGCTGTCATTCTTAAATTACTATTATATCTCCTTCTAAGTGAATTACATGTTTTTCTTTTTATCTTAATTACCAGGAAAATTATATATGCTTATTATATTTTTCATTGATACTTTCTCTAAACATGCTCTATGAATTAGGGTGAATGACAAAAAAAAGCGACATCTTTAACCGATTGTACAGCACAACGGAATTTGCTGGTGCTATATAAATAATAAAATAATAATAATAATAATAATATACAGTCATAAAAAAAAAAACAGAACCCAGCATTGGTATAAATATATGTTGAAAAAAAGTTAGTACTAAGCTGACAAGCTACGAAGAGCTGAAGCAGCTGGTTCACACAGCTGGGCAGTGGTTCATTTAGAGACTAACCCATGCATTGCCATAAAAAGCTTTGTTTAAAACAGCAGGTCACGGAGAAGGGAGCCTATGGAATGGTAGAGTGAAGATCTGCAAAGTGACGATGCTGTCTCAGCTTTTTTGCATGGAATTCTGGGAGAGCTGTAGAAATAAATTATTTCAGAGTTTCTGAACCTAAGAAAAGTTTTTTTTTTGTTTTTTTAATATTATACATTTCGTTGTTTACTCATATAAAATATGATACATGAAGAGTATTAATACAAAATGGCATGTTACTACAGAGCTGGAAAAATGCTGATGATTATATCCTTGTATCCCACGGAGCAAAATACTTGTTTACGCACTTTTTGTATGATTATAGTAATCTATTTAATTTCAGAATACATTGTTAATACATTGTATTGTTGGTGCAGAGCTAATACAAACAAAACGATGTGCAGAGTAATGGCACACTGTATCATGCCATAAAGGGCTATTTAGAAAACCCTGAATTTAATCTTAAATTGATGTTTTTTTGGATAAAAAAAAAAAACTGAGCCCATTAAAGAAACACTATAGTGTCAGAAATCTAAACATGTATTCCTGACACTATAATCCTGCTACGGTTATTTAGGTCCCTGGCATCGCTTTGAAAAGGTGATTTTACTCATCTTTTCTCCTACGTCGCAGCAGGCTCAGCCTCTATGGCTGGGATCAAACTTGATGACCTTAGCCAATCCAACATTGAAGGCTATTGCACATGCGCAGCAAAATGCAGCGCTATGCCAATCAGCATCTCTTTTATTAAAAAAAAAAAAAAAATCTTCCCAGCAATACACTGCATAGAGCTCATGTCAACAGTGGTGCAAAAAAAAAATTAAAAAAAATTTATATATATATATATATATATATCTCTTTAAAAGCAGGCCTCTCCCTATTTATCTATTTAAAAAAAAAAATACATTAAAAAAAATAAATTTCCATACAAATGTAGGGAGTGGAATTGGTGCCACATGAGATCGAGAAGGCTTAGAGGGCAAATCTATCATCAAGCTCTGTTTCCTATCACTTGGCACATTGATCTGAGATATATACATAAGGCAGAGAACAGACAGAGCACAGATCATTGCATACACAGTCTGAAAAACTTCAGATTAACTCTTGTAATTGCAGAGGAATGTTTGGTGACTTGAACAAGTGTATGTTAGGCAGAGCAATTCTAAAGTTGTCGGACGCACTGCTTTGAGGCCAAAACTGTCAAATGCACCATTAAATAGCAATGTGTTGGAATAAAATGGGGTGTAGTCTTGCATGGGGCCCCAAAATTATAATTTGGCAAGGGTATCAACTAGTACCATTTGGTCAACCGGTGATAAATTACAGAGCATACAGGGCAGCTTGGTGTAATTACGAATATAAAATAATAAACATCATTGGTTGGTGTATGGCTTTGGAAAGTACAATTCTGTGTCAGTGATAATGCCATGATAGGACATGGGTGGCCTATAGACTGCACATTAACAAGGTCAGGCAGGTTGGCCCAAATGCAGGACACAACCGATACACCTGCCAATAGGCTGGAATTGTTTGTAATTCCTGCCTAGTACAGAGGCAAGGATGCACTTAGCAATGCAGAAATATCCAGAAGCAGAACACCTGAAAAAGCAACTAGAGCTTTGTAAGAGGGCTGCAATAAAATCTGGACTGTTCTGACAAATTCAGGACTGTTGGCAAGTTCGGTTTTCCACACATTGATAATGTAAAATCGATTCAGTGTTACATCTTTGTTTGTCAACTCACCATGATTCACTGCTTGGTAAACAATCGAGTAAAAGGTACTAAGCAATATTCTAATTAGCAACACCATAATAGTGAAATATATTTTAACTTCGTAGCATAAAAACATACATTTCCTGTATAGAAACTGAGACAAAAGCCAGGACAACAGGATATTGGATAGAGAGCCAAATCTAGAAACAGTGCCTGGAAATCCGGGACACTTGGCAGGTATCCATTGAGAGCAAGATATTTTTATTACAAGCTCCTTACCAGCTGGAAATCCAATGTGTTCAGAATTTTAATGATTCGATTTTACTTTTACTCAGTGACCAATGTTTAACAGCAAAACTAAAAAAAAAAAAAAAAATATGAAAAAAAATGGTATCAGTAATGGCATCTGAATCCATCAAGTTGTACTACAATTCCCATGATGCATTATTATTGAATACATAATTCATGCTCCAAATGTATCCATCTGCTTGAAGCATATCATTCAGCACGGCAGGCTTCCTCCTATTCCCACTCTAAAATGTAGACTTGTTCTATCCTGTATAGATAATGTCAATGTGTCCGAGTCAGGTACAAGAGTCAGACACCAGGTATAAAGCTGTAGGTATCTCAAAGCTTTTTTTTTTCTACAGTAGTTCAACACATGTCTGATTGGAGGCAATGGTGGCTATTTTTCAAGTTGCCAGGCTTCAGTTTTGTAAGCTGGTGATCAACCAGACACAACTCATCGTTCAGTGAGATTGAGCTGAGGAACAGAAAAATAATGGGTCCAAACCTAGACAGGGTTTTAGAGTATAAATATGTCAACTTAACCATAATCAATAAATCCTGCTGCAGTAGTTATGGTGCAAGCACGTTCTCAGTGCCACCCCCCAAGCCATTTGGCACAAGTCAAGGTCCCCCGAGTCCCTATGGTCTAGTCCTCTCTGCCACTTAGGAAGTTACACTGCATTAGCAATATCAATTTTGTCCACGTTTGGACGGCAAAACTGGCTGAGGATGTCAGTTAAATCTCTGAATCAAAGTGAGCTTGCTAATGAAGGAATGTTACTTCTACAGTACATAGTAATATGATGACCAATGCACATGCTACTTGCTCCTGGGGAAACCTTGATTTGTGTCAATCCATTCTAATACAAATTGACACATAGTGGCACCTGGAGCATGCTGTACCATAACCATTAACGTGTTTTGTTTTTTTTAAACTGCTATACCATAATAACTGAAAGGTAATCCTACAGATGGCAGTTTAAAGGAACACTATGTTACAAATGCAAACATGTATTCCTAACACAATAGTGTTGGACTATCTTTTAATATCCTCAGCCCCCCTCTCTGTGGAGAAATAAAGTACTTAAAAATACCTTTACTCCCTCTCCACATCAGTCTTGCCACGGCTCCCCCCATCATCATCTTGATGATCTCAGCCAATCTAATGCTTTCCCACAGGAAAGTATTGGGAGGCTGCTGCGCATGCACAGTCTAACACAGGGAGCGTTCAGAGTCTCCATGCAAGGTGTAGAGATGATAAATGTAGATGCTGCATACTGTGTAGCATTGGACTAGGAAACACCTCTAGTGGCCAGCTAAGTGACATACAGAGGTTTTACTAGCCAGCAATGTAAACACTGCCCTTTTTCTGAAGGGACATGCTATAGGCACCAGGTCCACTACATTAAGCTGCAGTGGTTCTGGTGACGATATTGTCCCTTGAAGTCATCCACAGTTTGAGGAACAAAAGATGCAGAAATGGTTCATGGAAAATACATAAAAACGTACAATAGGCATGTTTAGAACCTTAAATGACTGGAGTGTCCCTTTAATAATGCCAATGAGATTTCAGCAGATTTGGATCTTGGGTAGTCAACTCAGTTATCGTAGAGCTGAAGATAAACTAAAACTTGCACGTTTCTCTGGAGTGGACGGTGGATGATAAAAATCTAATAAACTAGAGGCACGATAGTAGAGACACAGGCTGGCAACAATTTTGGCCAATTTAATAAAACCCCCATGAGCTCCCTGCACAGTTAAACATTTTGGTGACAAACTCTTTTTTCCCATGAATAGCTGCTTTTAGTAAGTATAGTACGTGGCAAAAGAAGAACAGATGTAATCCGACCTCAAGCCCAATTCAAAGCAGTCTCCTGGATGTAGTAAATAATATAGAATGGTATATTTAACCCAGCAGTTGCCCAATACTTATGCTGCCATTTATTTAAATCCCTCAGAATGTATGCAATCTTGGCTAGTAAACAAAAACTAGGGTAGTTTGCAAATGCATCTGGCAGGTTCGTAACTTGAACTTAAGTCCAGTCTAGCCATGTTCAATTAAAGCAACACTATAGTCACGAAAACAACTTTAGCTTAATGAAGTTCTATTTGTGTATAGATCATGCCTCTGAAGTCTCACTGCTTAATTCTCTGCCATTTAGGAGTTAAATCACTTTTGTTTCTGTCTATGCAGCCCTAGCCCCACCTCCCCTGGCTGTGACTGAAAGGGCCTGCAGGAAAACAAAATGGTTTAATTTTCAACCAGATCTTAACTTACTTTCAAAGATTTTATCTGCTCTGTAAATTCACATTATAATGACATACAGGATTCTCCTGCAAGGTCTATCAAGCTATTAACAGTGCAGGAGATAAGAATTTCTAAAGTAAACATAATTTTTAATAAAGGAAGTATAAACATTAGATGTTTCTTTACAAGTGTTTAGGCAGGCTGTGTAAGTCATGTGCTGGGAAGTGTAGCTAGGGCTGCATAAACAAAGTGATTTAGCTCCTAAATGGCAGAGGATTGAGCAGTGAGGCAACAGTGGCATGATTTATGCACCAAAACTCCTTCATTAAGCATTACATTGTTTTGGTGACTGTAGTGTCCCTTTTAAATAAAGTCCACATTTATGGCTCGATCCCAAGCAATGGCGAAGGCTCACCAATGATTGGATATTAGATCTAGACAAATAATCTAAATATACATCAAATATTCTATACCAATACTTTTCAACCGGAACTCCAATATGGGCAGTTAGGGGGGCAGTTAAAAGAAGAAAAAAATACCACAACAAGAGGACAGTCTTAAATTAGAGGGACAAAGGTTTAAAAATAATATCAGGAAGTATTACTTTACTGAGAGGGTAGTGGATGCATGGAATAGCCTTCCAGCTGAAGTTGTAGAGGTTAGCACAGTAAAGGAGTTTAAGCATGCGTGGGATAGGCATAGGGCTATCCTAACTGTAAGATAAGGCCAGGGACTAATGAAAGTATTTAGAAAATTGGGCAGACTAGATGGGCCGAATGGTTATTATCTGCCATCACATTCTATTTTTTTTATGTCTATGCACAAAACAGGTGTAAACCCTGCCACAATGCAACTTTCACTACTTTTGTGCAACCTTTTTTTTTTTTTTTTTTAATTTACCGTTTAGCACTCTTTATGATAATAATAGAAGGGTTGACTGATTTCATTGCTTAATCAATGGGGTTTATTTACTATTTATTATAGTGCATTAAAAACTAAATTTAGGCTAAAAGAGCCAAACTGTGACTATGGCGAGTTTGAGAATTTTCTTCTTCTGGAATAAATATTTCAAGTTAGTTTCAAAGTCACCACGATATGGTGTTTAGTGAATAAACCTCTTTGCTACAATTCAATTCCCATCACATTTACTAATTGCAAGTTGTGTGCCTGCTCCAACGATCCATCATTGTCAAGACATTGTTAGACAGTGATAATGCACTGGGGCTAGTAAATTAGAGAGAAGAAGAGAGATTTTAAATTTTTCATTGCAAGATGCAGAGGCTGGGGCAAGAGGAGACTATTTCTATAGCTACCTATTTATAGGAAGAAAGCAGCAGATTTTTCTTTTACCAATAGGTAAAAAAAATATAATTGTTTTTTTCAAATGCTGCTTTCTAAAATGAAGTACAACTTTCATGACACTCTTCCAGCCAAATTACAAGAAAGCTCTATTTAAATATTTCATGGCATCTAACCTTTTGAAGGGAGTTTTCCCACACAATTTAAGTAGGGCCCTCAACCCTTCTGTTCCTGTGTGTCCATTTGTCTGGTTACAATTATGTGTCTGTTAGTCCATCCATTGTACAGCGCTACGGAATTCTGCTGGCGCTATATAAATAATAATAATAAAAATAAGTACTAACACTTATTTAGTTATCATTGAAGTGTGCTTCATTGACGCTAACTTAAAAAATCTAGCCCAAAATAAACCCCTTAGTTGGAGTAAATATTTTTTCTAACAAAATTTTAAATTAACAATAGGAAAAGAAATTGAGCTATAAAAACACACTTTTGACTAAAAAAAAAAAAAGGACGGCTTCTTTTTTCTGGTTAAAATAAAATTAAATAAAACAAACAAAAAAACCTTTTCCCTTTCAGAACAAAATGCTTGTGCTAGAACAACCGATTAAGATATAAATACACATAAAAATTATAATCTAGGATTGATCTAAAGCCAGGGTCCATCTCCCAGTGGTCCTGTATTGGAAAGATACTGTTGGACCTCCCAGAAAAAGCTGGAGTGAAGTGTGAGGTTTTGCCGCATTCCACAGGCCCAGCCTCCGGCTCCAGGATGTCTGATGGAGATTGTGCAGCCCAGAGCTATTCATTTCAAAAGGAAATCAGCCACCCACCTCAGTAATACAACATGTCATTACTATACCGCCTTGGGGCTGAGGAAAGGCATGTTCAGGGTGTCCTGGATATTTTGTCTTTGCATGTATACACATTCTGTTTATAGACCATAGGAATGCATCAAGACAAGGAGTCTGGCTGTATAATACACACACTAAGAAAGATGTATCAGTGATCTAAAAGGTGGTGCAATGTTCTAGAAGTGAAGCAAACACCATGGTAGCCGGTAAAACCAGCAGGCACAATCTACTGGTGATTGGTCCACTTCCAGAATTAGCATCACTTTTTAATTAATTCGCTATATTAAATCTCCCCACAGACAATGGATTTTTGGTATTCAAGGTTCATTTTTGCAAAATCATTGAAAAAAAATTAAATAAAAAACATGCCATCAATTTTCTTTTTTTTTCCATTTTCCCTTTACATTTGCAGTTTTGATGTCAACACTAAATTCAGTCAAATGTGAACTGTACGGAATTGACAGGAGATTTTCTAAATTGTCTTGCTATTTTGGTGTAAAATGTGAATTTACTTAATTAATGATCTAATGAATATCCCTGTATATTTTTATGTATCGTATCTTGCAAAAACAGGATACACACAAATAATCATCGATCTTGCATTTTTCATGTAGTTAACAGAAAAAAAAAATTACTACTGCTAAAAAAAAAAAAACAACAAAGAAAAACATCAATCTGTTCTGGTTTCTGACTGTGTCTTAAAGGATCTCTCTCCTGGCACCAGTTCCACTATAGCTTAATGTAGTGATGTTGGTACAAAGAGACTGTCCCTGCAATTTTAGCAGTGTAAACACTACCTTTTCTGAAAAAAGAAAAAAAAAAAACAGTATTTATTTTATACTGTTTCTTAGGGCCACCTCTAGTGGCTGTCACTCAGACAACCACCAGAGGACCTTCCTGGTGCAGTCATATAATCTTTGACTGACATTTGACACCTTCACTTTCTGCGTGATTCTAGTGCAGAACGGTGATTACCACATTTCTCCTTGGAATAACCAAGAATAATGAATTATGTAGTGTCCCACTTTTTTTTTTTTTTAGGCTACGGCTTCTGCAGCTTAGCCAAATGAATCTAGGCTGCTGACCAGCCATTAAGGTTAAGTTTATTTAAGAATTATTGCCTTCAGCAAGGCTAAAACAAGAATATTATTAGATTCCTGCAGACAGAAATTAGGAATACCAAGGCACTTCTATCTGGGACTGTAGGGTTGCCAACTGTAATGCACAGGATTGCCAACTGTAATGCAGAGACCCGCAGTTTTCTCTGACTAGACTCTAGGAGAGAGGTGAGAGAAATAGTGCCAGAATATCCACTGCTATATGCAAAGTATACACTTCATAACATACTGCTGTACACACAAATGCAAACACAGTATAGTCACACTGACATACACACGCATTCAGAGAGTATATGCACACTGACATACAACACTATACACACTCTACAAACACACACACACTCAGAAAAGGTATACATTCACACTGTTACACATACACAATGCTACACACATGGTCAGACATAGTACACACATAGTAAATGTTTTTTTTAGTGATTTAGATAATTTTCCATTTCCAATCTTTGTTTTCTCTTATGTCACTACCTGTGATGTTACAGAACATCAAGTGATATTTTGTGATGTCACTCGTTATTAATTATGCAAATGAGCATGGATGGTTATTTGTTTTTTGCAAGGAAGGTGGCAAACCTACCTCGGAGTCTAGATCAGGAATAAGAACAATGACTCAGGTGACAATGATGCAGAGAATCAGGTAAGCAGCTCTATAACTCTTAGAGCATAAGCGTAGATAATCACAGCTATACGTTAGTTGATAATTCAAAACATATCTAGCATCCGGCAAGCAATGTACGAAGCACAGCAATCCCTGGAGAGGGCCTTTCTAGCTCGCTCTGTTGTATAACACGATTCTTGTATCCACAGCATCACGTTGAAAGAAAGCATTACCGTGTGTCTACAGCAGCCAACTTCTCTTGGCTGAAATGTATCAACACTCTCATCCAGGCCTCTGGTTAAGGACGGAAAAAAAAATAAAAAGATCTGCAGCTGAAAAAAGAAAAAGCGGCTACCTCCGTGTCTTCTGGGGCGAAATTCTAAGAATGATGCAATCACCATGGAGACCACTTAAATCTTCTAGCTCCATTTTCTCCTTTGCTCCATTTTTGCAAGCTAGCTTCAAAATTGCATTTCATAAACGCACATCCTATGTTTACACACTATGCAAAACTATATATACACGTGTAAGCATCTCTGCAGAAATTGTAGATTCTGCAGACACACTATATTCATACTCCTGCGTTCAGTGTTATATGTTGTTATATAAATAGCCACGTACAGAATGTATGAAAGACGCCAGAGTCTACTAAATGTTGACATTGCAAAGGCGTTCCAGGGTAGCGTTCCACATGATGTTTGATTTTACTAAAAAATAGCTGGTTAAATATATTGCTCGCCGCACTTTTTGTGGTGCTAATGTTAGGTCTTAGCTTTATAAATGAAGAATTCATAATAGGTTATAAAATAAGATTATTCAATACAATTTATTGAATATCGTATACTGACATGCAATTATGTATTACATGCAGACATTACCCTTATAATATGAAATACCTGTGTGCCTTGCAACGGCCAGACCAGTTAATATTCAGTTGATAGTCATTTAATTTATTTAATTTTACAACCCACAAAAAGAAAGAAACAAAAGACTGGTTATGAAAGGATTACTCCAGGCACCAAAACCACTACAGGCAACTGTAGTAGTTATGATGCCAAAAGTACCATTTAGTAACAGTTGGCCTCCTTACCTGCGTCTCCACCAGACTCCAAGGTGTCAGTCCCTATGGTTGACGTGCTTCTGCCTTCTGCAGCCATTCATTGGCTGAGAGAACCGACTGATCCCTGTCTGCCAATGAATAGCACGCTGCACATCAGAACTGACATTAGCCAGCCCAGAACTCTTAATTCAGGAAGGCCGATGACACACACAATGGTGCTCCCAGTGGTGGAGTTAAACATTGTACATACAGAACCTAGGCACCATGACCACTTGAAATCACTGAAGTGCTTGGAGTAACCCTTTAACTAACTTGGGCATTGTAAGAAATTTGCCAGGAACTGCAGAATTTCAACCGAAATAGTTCCGTTACAAATATATCTGAATTGGAAATTATTTCCAATTCAGCTATTCTCGTCTGCATGAGTTACGTCTTGACAAAACAAAACATGAAACCAAATTACATCTCACAGCAGTACACAAAAAAAATGTAATATTGGATTTTTTCTTTACTGTTCTATAAATCATATTTACATGTATTTTAAAACCATGTAATATTAAGCACTACCAAACCTTGTTTTTGTTTTTTATTTCCTGAACTTTGATTGCCCTATATAAAATTTGTCAATTTCGTTTTATGATTAAATGGGAACTTCTCTTTTCAGGGAAAGGTAAAATTACTTGTATTATTTGAGAGCTCTTTGTACAGAATAAAAAAAGCGAAAAAATTGCCTATGCAGGAAGTAAAATTAAGCAAATGGTGTAGCCATTACAAAGCCACAGTATTGTTTGCAGCAAAAATCTTAGCACTGCGGATCTTCATTGTGTGTAGCGACCACATCCGTAAGTCAGCTAATAGGCAGCTATGCTGCAAAGGCCTCTGGGAGGGCATTAGCTAAACAAAAGCTTGCTTACGCCAAGAGGGAAAATGTTTTGTCACCCAGCTGAGTGGGCTGTTAACATATAAATATAAGGTTGGCTTTCTTTCCAGAATCCCAACATCTGCTTAAAATATACCTTGCTCCTTATTAAATACTCCTGTTCTGTTCAATTTTTATTTATTTTTTTATTTTTTTTTAACCAGAGGGCATCTGCAACACATTACAGAGAAATGTGTACTTAATTATAGACACATGCTAATTCAATCTGCTCATTTCGTGGGAACAAATGTGAATATTAGATTTTTAAAAAATATTCTAAACGACGAAGCACAATTTCATTGGATTAAAAAAAAAAACTATATGTATAAATATATATTTATTTTTTTCTTTATTTAGCACTAGTACTTCTTGTTTAAATTAAATAAGAATTGTTAGAACATATCAAAAATATTTAGAAATAAATGTATACTATTTTAACATGTTTGCTGAACTTACAATTCAAATGCACGGCAATGTGATTGCTATTTTTTGTGAGTGACATTTTGCTTTTTGCAGTAAACTATTATTCATCGTCCGCAGTTATACTTTGAGTGATCAAAATATGAATAAATAAAAAGGTCATCATCGATTTTTTACAATCAGCGTACTTATAAATATGTTGTTGTTGTTTTTTTCGTTATAGTTGGTTAGCATACATCCCACCTCTCATAAATGCAGGAGGTGCTTATTTTCATAAATGGATTTTATTCGACAAGTCTCAAATCAGTCTTTATGCCCCAACAGTTAAAAATAACCAGTCCTTTTCCAATGGAGTGCTGCATCAACCTAGACAATTGGGAGCCTCTATTGTTTCAGCAAACACTGATTTTGGGTAGGTGTGTAGGACTACAACTCCCATGACACTTTGTCAACCTTTAGGCTTTTTAGATTTGCCTTCCTTAAACTAATATTTTTACAGTTTTATCCCCAGAAGATAATTAATCCGGTGTAGCACAAAACAGAACTGTTTTTTGTAGTATACTACCTGGATATAGGTGGCTCTGGAAAGACAGGAGACTTGTGATGACAGATAGGCATAGTCAGCAGACCCATTATGTGCTATTATTGCCTAAAATGATTAGTGGGCTGATTCTCTGATTCTGAAAAAGTTATTGACCCCAGGAGCATCATCTAGCATCCAGTAACAAAGAGACCTCTGCACCTGGTGACCTGGGGTAGATGGAACCCCTGGTGTGACATAGTTGGAACACACCTGTTTATTCACACTGCACACCTGGCTGCTGTCACACGCCCAGGGGCCGTGTTCTCTCCAAGAGTGCATCATAAGGTGACACAGTGCTGAAGGGCTTCACCAGACTTTGGTTTTTTCCTTTAATTACTTTCCTGTCAAACAACACTGCAGTGTACATAAAATGATTAAAATGGCCAACATATAAAAAAAGATTATCTAGGTGTACAAAACCCAGGGAAAGTGTTGCAGCAACATAAATTAAGAAAGCAAATGTTTTCACTCTTCTAACAATATACCACGATTTAGACATACACATGCAAAAACAACCCCCACCCCTGTACCTCCAAAATATCATCTTGTTGATATTAATATATTGGCGGTAACCACAACTATTAATGGTAAAAATGTACAGTGCAAAGTAGCTTGTTTTGAAGGTTAAAAATGTAATTATTTATATTTAACTTGTTTAGATTGCATTGTTTTATTTCTTTTTGCTTGTAAATAAAAAATGCTGATTAGTTGATTACCAGTATTAAGATAGTCAGTTTTGTGTTTGTTAATTTGTTTTATTAATATTATCAACAAAATATAATTTTTAATATATATATATATTTATTTATTGTTTACTAATTTCACCAATTCTCTCCTAAGCCCAATGATGCCAAGGGTGCCAAAAAATGGTCTTGAATCACAAACAAAAATAGTTGTCAACTTGGGATTTTTGCAAGCAAGCATCTTTATAGGGGTATTTCTTGGACCGAAGTGCTCTCACTGAAGTGGATTTTCTATTACTTTACACATTCAAGGGGGCATATAGATTACAAGTCCCCAATTTCTTTAACTGGCTCTTTCACAGTTTACTATGTAGACCATGGGGCCCAAAAAGTAGATTCCCAGATGTTTGAAAACTACAACTTCTTTGATGATTTGTCATTCTAAAGACATGCAAAGGCATGCAGTGCATCATGGGAGTTGTAGTTCAGCAACATCTCTGGATCTACCTTTTGGGCATCCCTGATGTTAAAGGACCACTATAGTGCCAGGAAAACAAACTTGTTTTCCTGGCACTATAGTATTAATACACCCCCCTCCCCCCCACCCTCCCACCCTCATGGCCCCCCTCCTGCCGGGCTGAATGGGGGGAAGGGGTTAAATCACTTACCATTCTCCAGCGCCGGGCTCCCTCGGCGCTGGGGAGTCTCCTCCTCCTTCGGTAGTCATCGGCGGAATGCGCATGCGCAGCAAGAGTTGTGTGCGCAGTCAGTCCGTCCATAGGAAAGCATTCTCAATGCTTTCCTATGGACGCTGGCGTCTTCTCACTGTGAAAATCACAGTGAGAAGCGCCTCTAGCGGCTGTCAATGAGACAGCCACTAGAGGCTGGATTAACCCATATGTATGTTTACAACAGGCAGGGTTAACCCTAGATGGACCTGGCACCCAGACCACTTCATTAAGCTGAAGTAGTCTGGGTGCCTATAGTGGTCCTTTAAACATTTCCTTTAAAAAAAAAAATAAAAAAAATTTAAAGCCATGTAGCAACATTGTCAAAGTAAGTGGATCTACAATAAGTTCCACAGATATTAAAAAAAATATATATATGACTCTTCTATAATACCCCTCCATTTCCCAGCAGATTTGACACTTGAAATGGAAACATATTTCTGTTTAAGCCAGACCAAAAAAATTCCACCTTTTAAAATATTTAACTCGTACACACAAGGAGAAGTTATCTGCAGTCTTTATAAAACCAATATTAGGCCAGCAAATTAGTTACATTAGTAATTGTGGTAAAATCAGAAAACATTGTGGCTGTCCAGGTTTCCTTGTGAATGTCTCAAAATAGAGGATTTTACATACAGTGTAATGGAGTCGTGTTTTTATACCATAAAAATGTTTCTAACTTTTTTAAAATTATTTTTAAGCAAATTGTTTCAGCAGTGAAGTAACAGACTTAGACTCCTGACTCTCTGCCTTGATGGACTGAAATTTGTGTGCCATAAATCCAGTACTGGATTGATTAAACAAATATGTCTGTGTCAAGACCAACATCTAATCAATAGCCTAAGAATGTAATCTGTAACAGCTGGTCTGGGAGACTGGCTGGCTCTGTGGAGTCTAACACACCATAACATATCTGACTAATACCCGGCAGGGAGGCTCCAACTGCAAGATTTAAAGCAGACAGACCAAAAAGACACTCCACTCTAATCTAGTCCAGTGTTTTTCAATGTTTGTGCAAAATATTATTTTAAATAAAGTTTTTTTTAAAGAAAAAAATAATACAGTGTTCTTGAGAGGCAAACACTACTCATATACATTTGAAATATTTACACAAATAAATAGAATTATAATTTTTAAAAAAACCTAACCTAAATGTACCATAATTCTGCGCGCTCTGTAGGGGGAGCATCAAGCGCGCCAGAGTCCAAGAGGTAGAGGAGTCAAGCCAAGCCTATGTGAACAGAGTTTTTGCCTGCTGGGTTTCTATTTGGCAATATCATTTATTTATTACACCTTTAGACGATGAACAATTTTCAGCTGGTACATGATCCCTGTTGGGTTGTAATGGAAAGACCACCTCAGATACATACTGGAGATTGTGTGGGGAACAAGGTACATATTTTGTGGGCATGCACTGAAGCACAAGCCTTTTGGAAGGACGTTTGATCATTCGTATCCAATGTTCTCAATATATATTTTAAATGACCTCCCTGGAGTTTTCTACTATCTAAACCCATAGAAGGTGTTGTCAAAAGAGAACAAACGCTCTTTCATATAGTCAGTTTGGCAACATATAGTGCCATGGCTCAAATGTTGTTAAAGGACCACTATAGTGCCAGGAAAACATACTTGTTTTCCTGGCACTATAGTGCCCTGAGGGTGCCCCCCCCCGCCGGGCTCTAGGGTGAGGAAGGGGTTAAACTTACCTCTTTCTCCAAGAGCCGCACGCGCATTCAGCCAGTCTCATCCAGTCTCATTCACAATGCTTTCCTATGGACGCTGGTGTCTTCTCACTGTGAAAATCACAGTGAGAAGCACACAAGCGCCTCTAGCGGCTGTCAATAACACAGCCACTAGAGGCTGGATTAACCCATTTGTAAACATAGCAGTTTCTCTGAAACTGCTATGTTTATAGAAAAAAGGGATAACCCTAGCTGGACCTGGCACCCAGACGACTTCATTAAGCTGAAGTGGTCTGGGTGCCTATAGTGGTCCTTTAAAGAGCGATACTTAAAACATTGCACAGATGGTAGCTAAAGTTAAAGATGTACCCCATGGATAAATTAAAAAGCGCATTCCCAAAACAACTCACCTAAATTCTACAATACTTGGGAACCATGGGAGGTATACAAGAACCAATAGGGGGGAAATACCAGAAACACAAGGAGAATGGGTGTCAAGCGTGGGAGTGCTTGGGTGTGCGCTCATGGACACCCAAGCTGGCAGAAATGTCCTTATTTTATTTCTGTGAAACTTATCTTAGTTTCCGTTATATAATTTTCTTTAATGTTGATTATTCTTATAATGATGATAGACAGTGTAACCAAAAAGACAAAAATCTGATTTTGTTACATATTGACATTTTTATGTCACTATGATATATCAGGGTGAGTCAAAAAATATCTGCACTCTGGCTGTAGAATTTAGTTTAGACAACTTTTAGAAAAGACAAATACATCATTTTTCAACCTAATCTCCTTTTCAATACACTTTGTCCATCTGTCAACAAGCTTTCATATTCCCTCATTAAAAAATGTTTTGGGCTGAGCAGAGAGAGCCACGAATGCACTGATGTCTTCACTTCTTCATCAGTGGTGAATCTTCGTGCTTGTAGGCCTGCTTTCAGGCTACCGAACAGGTGAAATTTCAATGAAGCAAGATCAGCACTAAAGGGAGGATACTTTAACACCTTAAAACAAAGTTTTTGCACAGTGTGGGCAGAGGTGCCCTTCAGTGAACATCTCACTGTAACAAGCACTGTTTATTGTTGAACCTTTTTCCTAACAGTGTTCCAATACTGGCCCTTGAGAATCCCAGAAAACTGTAGGCATCAATTTTTCAGCTGATGGTTGACTTTTGAACTTTTTCCTGGTCGCGATTGATGAGGTTTCCATTCTGTACTCTGCCGTTTACTCTCAGACTCGTATTGATAAATACAGGTCTCATTATCAATATTGATTCTTTTTGAAAAGCTTTCACCTTCCTTCGAGTATCAGTCCAAATTTAGTTTGCAGATGTCCAAACGCTTCTGTTTATGTTCTTACGTGAGATGTTTTGGTACCCATCTCGCAAAAAACTTTTCTAAACCCAAGTTTGTTGTGGATTATTTCATAGACAAAGCAATGGCTAATTTGCAAATGATTTGCTACATCATCCACTGTCACTCGTCTATTCTACAGAATCATTCCATGTGCACGCTCAATAGTCATCAGTTATGGACGTGGACGGGCGTCCAGCTCCTTCTTCATGGCTGACACTTGTGCGACCTTCCTTGAACTTCTCTATCTATTCATACACACACACACACACTTCGTGACAAAACACTTTCTCCATTCTGCGCACAAAGTCTTCGATAAATATCGGCACCAGGAACACCCTCAGACCACAAAAAAAACATAATTGCACGCTGCTCTTTTTTGTGTGCAAATCACAAGTGGGTCAGCCATTTTTTATCCCACTTACAAATGAAATGACGAAACACATTCCCACCTGCACAGCAGTAACTGGAGAGACAGTGACATTCAACAGATAAACTAGATAAGTGCAGCTAACCAAAGTTTTTTTTCTAACCAGAGTGCGGATAATTTTTGACTGACTCTCGTACTATTGCCGGTCAACAAATAAAAAATAATAAAAAATGTTAGATGATAAATAAGCTTCAAAGCTGCAGCCATACTGAAAGCTATGTTTACAATAGAAAAACTGGGCGGTGTAAGTTCCTTAATTTTTTCTAGCTCCACTTTTCGGAAACAGTATTTTTCAGCAAAAAACCCCACATAAAATAAACATAAAAAAACTCAACACATGAGTTGAATTCAGAATTTAATCAGATTTTAGGAGGATATTGGGTTGCATAATCAGAAGAGTCTTTAGTTGCTGAACTGAGAATTCAGTCTATCAATGTATTCTTTCAGAAATTAAAGCAAAATAATTAGGCAAGTGGGAGCTATAATTATTTTCTACCACTCCAATTGCCCAGAATATTTTATAGCAGTCACAATAATTCCAATACATTTAGCACTAACAGAGTAGCAGGTGCTTATTGACACTTGACATAACTAACGTCAACACAACCAGGGTTAATCGTCCATATGTCATCCTTACGGAATGCGCATACTTGTGTATTTATAGACCCACCACCCATATTCCAGAGCATTGACCCTGAAGGACATTGGAGCAAGAAAGTCCACTGATGCAACGTTGGCCGATTGTGTCTGTGTTAAGACATTGCAATAGCTATAAAACCTTCTAGTATTGAACGGGTTAATGAAATCACTTACCCATGTTGGTTATACTGCCCACAGTGGGGGTTAGATATAAAAGAGTCTAGAGGAGAAAAGCACTGCGATTTTTAAACAGTGGAGAGGGGAGGGGGGGTTTATCAAAGTGTTGTGATCTGCAAAGAGGTGTAGTTACCATAAGAGATTCTATTAGTGATCACTCCACTTTAGTAACTTTGCAAAACTTTTAAGATCACAACACTTTCATTAATTCCACCACCCCCACACAACCTTCTGTCTCTACTGGATGCCAGGGTGTCATCTGCATCAAAGTACAAAATAGATCTACGGTAATTGTTGAAAAAAAAAAATTGTTGCAGGTGATGTGAGAATTTAGCCTGAAAAACTGATTTTTTTTTTTAAAGATAAAATTTATTGCACCCTTCCATCGTGTATCCGGTGTAACCTGCACTAATGGAAAAATGCAATGGTAGAAGAAAAGTCACGATATGGGCCCTGTTTGTTTTCATGTATAAAGCCTATGTAGAAATGCTAAAACAGTAATAAAACCGAAGGCATCATAGTAATTATTAGAAACAGTGGGATTATTTCTAAGTAGCGCACAAGTCCTTATAACAGTGATTTGTGACCTTTTGGCACTCCATCTGCAAGGGGCAATGACAAGAGTGGGCAACCTTCGGCATTCCAGATGTTGTGGACTACAGCACCCATAATACACGACGACATCTCCCATAATACTTTCACGGCCATAATGCTGGCAAAGCATGGGGGTGGGGGATGTAGTCCACAACACCTGGAGTGCCAAAGGTTGCCTAATCCTGGACTATAGTAACACCTTATGCTGACCGACCAATAACTGGAATAGGGGATCTTATGCCACAACCGCTGGAGTGCCCTGGAGAGCCATCATGGAAATATGGTGGGGATGCATTAAACTAAAACATTTTGTTGACATGAATAAAAGACCAGACAATACAATAAATATAGAGCTACAAAAGCAAAGGATCTATTTCTAAACCTGAAGAAAAAAAATTCTACATCCAACAAGTCTTCAACTGAGTAACCCCACCACTGCCAGCAGCCACGGTTCTCTCCAAACCAGCCAAGGATAGGTGCTCTTGCACTGTTTAACCCTGTTATTACTGGCAATCCCTGCAGGGTGTCTCATCATTCACAACAAATGCTCCATCATGTTTTATCACTATAGAAAACTCACTAGGTATGAAAGTCACTTCCCTGGAATAATGTCAGTCCATGTTACTGCTTCAAACACCATAATGGGTTAACCTCTGCATCAACGTCAATATTCTCTCCATCAACTAACTTAGTTCCCTAAAACTCCCTTTTATCACCATAATTCAATCTTCCAATGAGCGAAGATCTTTCCGTAGATTAACCCCTGTATTAAATCACCTGTATTAAAACGTCCTCTTGTCCAGTTAACCAATACGCTGCCAGAGACCTCTGTTAGTAATCGCTATGCCTGTCACAAAATGGCACTTAACTATCCAAGAGAAACCAAAATGCAGAGTCCAACCCCAGGCATGGAAGAGTTAATACACAAACCGCCAACTAAACTAATCAAAGGAAATATGTACAGACTAAGGCAATTTTCTAAGTAACCCCTTTTACTCTTTCAGACCCAAAGCAGTACAGCAAAAAAAACAATCGTGCATCTTAGCAGCAAAGCTCAACTCTTTTGATTCCAAGTCATACAAGACATATATTCCCTCGGAGAAGGGAAGTTAATAATAGGGCTCTCCAGTCTTTGCCTTCCAGTTGTTGCTGGACTACATTTCCCTTGAGTACTGAGCAACCAACTGCTAGCAGTGCATTTTGGGAATTGTAGTCTTACAAAAGATAGACAACAAAGCATGGGTACCCCTGGTTTCTGTCTTAAAAACCCAGAAGGCAAAAAAAAAAGTAAACGGCATGCATCTTCGCCTCCAGTTCCCCAATAAGAGGATGCAAGCAAGCTTAATTTTAGGGGTTGCAATCAACTTACACTGAAAGGATCCCGGAATCCCAACCATGTTATCCGATCACTGTGCACAGTCACTATGTAAAAAGTCCACACAATGTATCTCCACAGATCTCTTTAGCACACAAAGGTTAAAGGGCCTCTACAATATCTGAAGGAGACTGTGTGGCTGGAGGAAAGGGGGCTGGGAAGGATACAAGAGAATGGGGGAGGGTGCAATCTCCTCCCTACCACCAATACAAACCCTCCCCTAATTGTGGATAATGCTATATGCCTAATGCAGTGTTATCAAGCAGCTCAATGAATATCTAAGCATGGCAATGCTGGAATCACAACATAAAAGATACCAAGTATCTCGGTGCATGAAACATTGTGTTTGCTACATTAAAGGGCAAGTCATTTATATATGATTATTATTATTTTATCATTTATATAGAGCCAGCAAATTCCGTGGCGCTGTACAATGGATAAATTCAATGTGCAACTTCCAAGGTGATCTGTACAAACATATACACCTCTAGATTATGCAGCAAATACCATAAATAGAGTAATTTGTGACATATATTGGGGAGATTAATTTGAATGGCGCAGCAAAGGCATATGGGTAGAAAAAGGTAGATTGTTTTGTCCCCCCCCCCCAGAAATATTAACTTAATTGTGAATTGTTGGGAATTCAAAGTAAATTTTAAAATGTTACACTAAAACAGTAAAACTAAAATATAATTTTCATTTGACTAACTAGGACTAAAATTTAAAATGTATTCTGATTTCCTGATGATTTGTACTTTAGTAAATAACCCTCATATTTTATTGGTTTAAGTGTCCCAGAAAAGAGACAATGTGTTCATTCTGGTAAAAACTGTTTCTAACTAAATATATATGGTTTGTGCTAGTGTCAGAAACCCCAAAACATGCCACACTTCTCTGTTCTAGGTAACGTCATAGGCCAGTGTCGTCAGTGGCACTTTCACGGTTTCTTTGTCTGTTGTTTATAGCGTGCCACAAATGAAGGGGGCGGAGCCTGACCAGTAAGCTAGCTAGACGTGCCTTGCATGAGCTCCCGTTTCAAAGCGGCAAACCCGGTGACTTTTCGGGCCGAGGTACTGGAAAATGGTATCTATGGAGCCCTCCAAACAGAGATAACTTACCCGCAACTTTTGACACCGGAATCAATGTTCTGAGTGCCCGGGAACCGCGGCGGCAAAGTGCGGCCTACCAGAGAACAGGGGGGGGGAAGGGAAGGGGAAGATGGCCGCTTTCCTCCTGCAGTCCCAAGACCCGTCTGAGTGGGACTCTCCTCCCCCGTGGACCGGTTGAGGTTATCTCGGTCCCCGTCGTCCCCAACTGCCACAGCCTAACCAGTCCCAGAGGACCCTGGATTACTCCTGAGCTGATCGGGAGTGGAGGGACCCAAGATGGCAGATGTACAAGGCTCCTCTACACGCGGCCCCACCCTGCTACAGCATGACATAGCAGGCCCCAGCACTACAGCACCAGACACTATTGACGTGATATTTGAAAGGTTCTGAGAGAAGTTGTTAGACCGCGAACGACAAGGCCCTACAAATGCCAACTATGGGAGCACAAGACGGCGGCACCAGGAGGATTGGGAAACCTCTCAAGGGCGCAAACTTGTCTCCAGCTTACACAACCAGCACACGTTGCCCACCTGGGCTGAGAGCAAAGAAGGTTTTGACCTGAAAGTACTGGCCACACACACGGAGGGCTAAGAGATGCAAATGGAGTTCCACACTGACAACAAGCTGCGCCCACCGCACCATCCCTAATGGGAAGACCCTGAACTTCGCAAAACTTCAGGTTCGTGGTATAAGGGTACCGGCTTTCTTGCAACCTTGGGGCTGGAGGGGTGACCTGCCTCAACATTGCTACACTGCTCCCCAATGCGGACTGAGTCCACTAGCGAGAAGCAAAACCCAGAGGGGCATAAGATTACTGTCCGGAGTATCAGCTAGAGAGACTAGCTTAGTTTCCCGCAGCCCATGACCGCCTTCACCATACAGGACTCTATTACCAAGCCCTATTGCAGATGGTGCCGGATCGGACGGCATATCTTCGCAACCCGTCTAGTGATCTTAACTCGATATGTATATTGCCTCACTTAGCCAGCACACTAGGCCTGATTCCCTACACTCTCTTACTCTGTGCTACACAACTTCTCACAGAATACACCATACACTATTTAGACAGGATGGCATTGCGTACCATAGGCTTATTCATGTAATTATATATCTGATTATTTACCCAGCTAGCATGTTATACATTTTAATCAGCATCAGAAGCCTAACATAGTCTTAATATCTGTAAAGTGTTTCACTAATTCTTGCTACCATACCTTGAATCTTCACGCATGTTAATGAATCTAATATAAAATTGTGCACATCCAATCTACTACCCCGAATGTAAAGCTTGATATGATGCTAGAGGATTGCCGTTGGGGTACCTCGGGCTTGTTTGCACCTATCCTTTGCACAGCAAAAATACAAAAAAAAACAAACAATTTAAAAGCAGAAAGAGCATACTTTGTGTTTCTTACGCATCAGTAATGTTGCTCTGTTACACCAATCATGGGAATCCGAGAGTTAGTTCATATGATACTGAAACATTTGTGCACCATTATTTACGCACCAAATTTTATACGAGCATAAGAGACTAAATGACTATTTAGTTTATTGGCTACTAAGCTCACTTCTGTGCATTTCCTAGACTTCCCTAGATTCTTGAAGCCCTGCTACTTGTGGGCTCTGAATTCTGACTATTATTTCTGACACTAGCCTGCAGCCTTCTGCCTTCTGGATATGGAAGCAGAAAAAAAGCTTGGTTAAAGGGACACTCCAGACCCCGAAATCACTTTAGCTTGCTAAAAAGCTTTATGTAAGAAGAGTGTGCTCTTTATTTTATTTTGAAAAAAGTGCAGATTTCAATAGAAATTTACACTTTTATAAATTATACTGGTTACATCCCCCTGGTTTTTCACGCAGACAACAGGTTCTGTTACTTCCTGGTTCGGTTAGCTTAGTTGCACTGAACTTAAGAGGCAGCATTTGCCCAGACAGACACTGGTGGATCCAGGGGAGGGGGGGCAATGGGGCAATTGCCCCCCTCCCAGCCCTCAAGGCTCTCCCCTGCTGGCTAATGCAGAACTGGCAATGTGCCTTCACGGACCGAAGGGGACATCAGAGATCTCCCTCCCTGGTCCTCAGGCACAGTGCTGGCAGCACCTCTGGGTCCTTCTCTCGCGAGCACGGAGCGTTGCCGCGGGTACCACGGCAAAGCTCCGAATCTCGCAAGAGTGAACTCTAGCCCTGGAGCTACGGGCTAGAGTTCACTCTCACCACTGCGACCATCAGGGACTCCCCACAGACTACCAGCGATCGGGAAAAGCCCCCCCCCCCCCATCCTTCCTCGGTAAAGGTAAGAAGGGAGGGGGGACATACATTTATTTTTATTTATTTTATTTACCCTCTTCACCCCACATTCACGCACTGCCCCCCCTACACACATTGTCCCCCATACACACACACACACACATATACTGCCCCCACATACACATTGCCCCCACACACACATACACAGCCCCCCATACACACGTTGCCACACACACACACACACTGCCCCCCATACACACATTGCACCACTGACACACACCACTGCTCCTATGCCCTACTACAGCCCCATACCCAGCAGACCCCAGGTAAGTTGTCAAACTTTTCTTAAACGGTTTAATTATTTATTCTGGGGGGGAGGGGGTTGCAGCACTCCTGGCACCATAACCCCTACACAGAGCTGTAGTGGTTATTGTGCATGAATTATTTCTTTAAATAATCTACAAATGCCCCTCCAGAGATCAGGCTCTGGATCCGCCACTGTGCCCAGAGCACCTGCCTTGAAAAGACTTCTCATTGAGCTGCATTGGGAAGTCTGTGATTGGACAGCCACTGAAAGACTGGGTGGGGTTAGAAGGTGAAGGCTTGCAAGGACAGCAGATTTGCAGTTTTTGCAAGCTGTTTTTAGTTATAACTCTAATGAAAAAAAATGCATAATTAAATACATGCAAGTTTTCATTTTGGGTATATCTACTAAACAGTGGCTAGTGTGTGTTTGTTGTACAGAGTTGGTACAAGTGTGTTAAAACATGCTGGTGGTGCAGAATAGACCTAGATGTGCTGGTGCCTGAGCGCACTGTGTGTCTGGATCTCCAGATGGCACAGAGTAGTGTGAAGGGCTGGATATATAAGCCAGCAGCAGAAAGCGGCTAGTCCTAGATAGCCTAGTGACAAAACATGTATGATGGGCTATTGGGAAGAGAGCCAACACGGGCGTACTGGTTGTGCAAGGCAAACCTAGCCAAAAGCACCTATGTGTCAATGAGGTAACAATGAGCATGATTATGTTAGTGGAAGTGTGGTCCTTAGTCAAATGACTAAGATGAGGTCGGAGTGCGACTACATGTGTTTGTGGCATAGACTATACCGGAGAGTACTATAGTGACAGACTGTGAACCTGGATGTGCCGGTAACAATAGACTTGGGTTCTGGTGACAGAGAATGGTTTGGGCATGATAATCACAGAGGATATCCATGAGTGTTTGTAGCAAAGCAACAGAGCTATTGGTCCTCATGCTATATCAAGTCCAATGGCTATACTGACAGACGGCAAATCAAAGAAAAAAGGTAACATCAATCACTCACAGTTAATATCAATATCAATCAAAAATATTATTTATTTATGGAAGATGCACCAATTCCATTTCATCAAGCCTGCAGTATATGCGATGTAAACAGAGCAGGATTAATATAGGGGCTAATGGAGCTGCAGCCCATGCAATAGGTTCATTGGATATTAAAAAAAAATACACAAAAAAAAAACAACAGCTCTACTAACATGTTCTTTCTAAAATGTGGCACAGAAAGAATGAGGAATGGATGTTTAGGAGGGATGCAGAAGAACAAGGTTTTTGTGGACTGGCTGGCTATATAATAATTAACTTAAAGGATAACGGTTGGTTTCACACAGAGCAATCACAGCAGCAGGTAAGTTCGGTTAAGTAACAGTTGGTCAGATAACAAATAATAAATAACAGTAGAGTCAGACCCAACATGGGGGCTCAGTCAGATTAAAAAAAAGTGGAAGTTTCTCAAACAAACAAACAAAAAAAAAAAAGAACAAAAACCCACAATAG